AAGACGTAGGGGTCCTCAGGTCATTTTCATCGTAAGAGTTGAGGGTAGAATCAGCATTGGCAAACCATGGATATCGTCAGATTTCTCACCTATTTGCACACAACTGTTATGTTATTTTCAAATAACAGACGGATTGCATACATTTTTTTTTTCATAACACGCTAAATAACTCTATTTAATTGGTGAAGATGCAGCGTGTGGGTTATGATATACCCATGTTATTTTCATTTCCTATGCGTATACATACAATACGTGTCGACACCGATGGATGCGAAATCCGTTTCAAAATCCACACACCATGTGTGATGTGCGACTAAGAGAAAATTCAGAGGATATGTAGAGTATTGCACATCATTCAATGGATTGGCAGCACGGTCGCGTGCGAATAATACTTTTATTGCTTAATTGTTTTACGTTGCACCAAATTGCGTTAAATGGAATTTAGTCTAAGATCCAAATAAGAAACGACCTTCACCAAACTGTTTAATGGATGAAAAGTATTTTATGTCAAGTTTAGTCTGTTAAAAATATATCGCGAATGAGTTGGCTAAAACGTTCCTGACGAGACTATGATTAATTAAAAATTGAAAAATGAATTTTTATTATAAGTTGCACTAATAGTAAATGCATCCAAAATACATACATGAACGAAACACTGTCTTAGGAAACACACATATAGTCAAAATCACGAAAGATGACTATTACGTCAAACCATAAATTGTACTGAAGTAATCAATGGATGTACGTCGATGATAAAATCACGATGTCAGGAAGTTAATTCACTGATTATTTTTATTTTCATTTTATTTCATGCTTTGAGTGATACATTAATAATAATTTTAGTGTAGAGTTTTTGATTTGAAAAAAACAGTTATGAGTAGAATACCTTAAGACAGGAACACCAAACACCAAAGTATTATTCGAAAACAACCTAACCTGCTTTAACATAACCTAACTATTCATCTTTCAAATATGAACGATCATGCAATATGAAAACATCGTCTATCTTTGTCGGATACATGCAAATTAGCAATATAGTTTGTTAAGACCATTGATTCCCCTAGGGGTCTATGACAACCTGCAAGAGGTCTACGTCAGCGAAAAAAAATTTGGGGGTCCATGAAATGAATATGGGGGTCCACGATAGTGGATCTCAACACATACACTGATAGTACCTATTTACTTACATCATACTAACTTATAATATCAAAACATATACATTATTTATAAAAGTACCTATGAAGTAAAAAATTTATTATATACATATGTTTATAAAATTGTGTAAGTTGTAAGATGTTGGTATTCGCTTTGTGGTCGCAATACATTTTGAACTTGTAAAAACCTGATAGTCGCAGTCTCAGAGCTTTGCTACCTTGCACTGACTTGTTCAATTCGTCACTCTATAAATACGAATGTGGGACAAATACGTTTATTCGTTTCCTGAATCTTGAAAAGGAAAGTGCTAAGAAAATATTTTAAAAAATATAAACAGATAGTATATCACACAAATTATAGTGAGTCAGTGTTATTTTGTTTGAGAGTGCTGGAGAAAAGTAAGTACATTATTTTTTATTAAATTTTAGTTTTGTACTCGTAGTTAGCAAAGATAGATAAATTACGCCAATCATGACTTTAGTTATTTGTAGTTAAACATTCAATCATGCAAAATTACACGAGTACTCCTCAATAGTTTCTTTTTAACAGTTTTAGCAATCGGTATCTAATATAATTACAGTGCAATCTCCGTAATTCGAGCTAATTGTTGCAAGAAGATATTCGAATTATGGAATGTTTTCGGAAAAATCAAAAAATATTTTTAATATACAGCTGCTGGATTGTCTGTCTTATTTAAATAATTTAATTTTGCCCACAGATGACTGATGCCATGTCCGAATCTAAAAAGAAATGTAGACAGTACAGTGTTGATTATTTGAAATTTGGCTTCATTTCATCATTGCCGGACAAACAATCGCCTATGTGCCTTTTATGCAACAAAGTTTTGGGCAATGACGCTATGAAACCATCTAAACTGTAAGATCATCTGAGAAGATGCCACCCTGATAAAACAGAGAAAGATTTGAAATACTCTCAAACACTCAAAGATAAATTTCAGAAGAGACCTACACTGGACAGAATGTTCGCTTCGTCGTCACAAAGAAATGATGATGGTTTGCCGGCGTCTTACAATCTCTCGTTACTTATAGCAAAATCCGGAAAACCACATACTATCGGAGAGAAGTTAATTTTGCCAGCCGTTGAAGAGGTTTTACACAAACCTGCATCCGATATCATTAAAAGACTTCAGCAACAATACTGTTGAAAGGCGTATTGATGAAATGAGTTCTGATATTGAAAGCTTCTTATGTACTTATTTGCAAACGACCCATTTCTCTATACAACTGGACGAGTCAACTTTACCTGATAATGCAGTATTATTATTGGCATATGTTCGTTTTATTATGAATCAAGAAATCTACGAAGAACTGCTCTTCGCAAGAACTTTGATAACCGACACTAAAGGTGAATCAATATTTCATGTTTTGAAGGATTACTTCATTGAAAAAGCAATTCCTTTATCAAATTTAATATCAGTAGCTACAGATGGAGCACCTGCCATGGTTGGACGTTATCGGGGATTTATAAGCTATTTAAAACAAAATGTGTCAGGGGTGTTAGCAATACATTACGTCATCCATCGACAACATGTAGTTGCTAGAAATTTGAGTGTTAGATTGCATGAATCACTTCATTTAGTCATTGATGCAGTAAACCGAATCCGAAGCAACGCGTTGAATACGCGGTTGTTTGCGCAGTTGTGTGAAGAAAATGACGAACACTTTCATCAATTACTCCTTCACACTGAAGTACGCTGGCTGTCGAAAGGCTTATGTTTGACAAGATTTTTTGCACTTTTTGAGACTATTTTAGAATTTCTGGATACTAAAGATAAAATTTTAAAAGAAAATTTAATGAAGAGGAAAACAGACATCGCCTATTTAACAGATTTGTTTACAAAATTTAATATGGTTAATTTGCAATTACAAGGCGACAGTTTAAATTTGATTAAAACAAAGTCCATCTTATCAGCGTTTCTTGCCAGAGTTAAACTAATGAAGCAAAATATTGGACGGGGCGAATTTTCTCAGTTCCCCAATTTGTCACAGACAAGCTGCCAGGAAGACGACGTTTCAACTTACGTTCAACATTTAAATGTCCTCTATTCAGATTTTGAATCTAGGTTTGAGGATATTTTGACTATAGTAATACCACCGTGGGTAATTAATCCATATGGTGACATAGAAGAAACGAATGTCATAATACAAGAGGAACTGACTGAACTAAGTACAAACGAAGAACTTAAACACTAAAATTCGTTAATTTTTTGCCTATTTTTAGATAACTTAAACGTATAGGAAGCGGAATTTAATCAAACTAACAGTGAAATTATTGTAGAACATACGTTTATGTTATAATTAGTATGTCGCTAGTAACCCAGTCACCATGTCACAAAAATTACGTCATTATTCGGTCATTTTTTGTAGGAAACGTCATTGACTAAAAAATGACGTCTTTATTGGCTAGTGTATTTAAAATTTTTAATAAGTTATATCATTGTATGGGAAATACTGACTCAGTCTACTTTACCTCATCTTATATTCCAATTCTAAGAGAGATAGATAACTCAGTGATGGCCTATTATTTTATAGACTGAACTCAATATCTCTGATCTCTTGATTGTCATACTCTTTTCTCTCCTTCAAAAATTTCTAGATTACACTCGTCCCGTGTCAGCGTCAGCGCTCTCCAATTGTTAAGATATGTTTTCCTTTCAAATTGTACGAAATTTCAGGCTGATAAAATATGATATAACTCAAAAGCAAGCACAATTTGATGCAAATAGATGTTTGTGACATAACCTCAAAATAGAGCTCTGACAAGGAGAAGTAGAAAACTATGACAATCAAGGCGGCCATAAACGCGTCCTACAATTGTAGGGATGACTGACGATACGGGCCTTAGACTTTTATGTAAAACCAGTTGATGAGAACATGATTTTTTTTGGTGGATGACACATTCAGCCATATTTAGATTTCAAAGAGGGTAATATTGCTGGAACATCAATTAATAATGCTTCATTAGCTACAACAGCATATGTGTTTTTGATTTCAAGCTTTTATTCTAGTTTCAAAGAAGTTATTGTTTTATATCCTGCAAGCCCTGAAAGACGAGATGTTCACTTAGCTTCAATCCATTTGTAATAGATGCAGTATCAAGGTTTGGTAAAACCATACATCGTAGCACTCCGAAAAGACAGCAAAATTTTTATGAAGTTTTCGCTATTCTTTATCTTTTTCTGTTGTTTTCCTTTTTAATTTCCTGGCAAGAGCTTACCTCAGACCTCGCTGGTTCTTGCTGGACACAACTACTTTTCAACAAGTACTACATTTTTGATCATATGTTGATGATATGTAATTTTCAAGTACCAGTATACGTACTATCATCATAGTAAATTGTGCACAATTGCTGTGAAATTTTGTTGATCGGTTGTGACTAACATTGGGTTATGTATGTCATTGAAGAATTTGTTATTTTTAGCAAAATATTGTGAGCTTTTATAACATCAGCTTATTACTCAAATGTGCACTTAATGTTGAATGAAATATCAGTGAAAATCAGGTTGAAAATAGTTAATAACTACCTTAATATTTTCCACCAAGTTTTCTTCATATTCCAAAAACACATTTCTGAATTATCCATCATTTACATCAGGTAGAGTATGTTGAATATGCTGCCTTGTTGCTAGATGACAACTTAAGGCTTTAGGAGCAACTTCTATTTTGACAAAGTTAGAAGATGCACCCGTTACAAGTGTGATTCGTAGACTATACCATTGAGGAAAATTTGCGGTGTTTTACTGAAACTCAAAACCATCCCAATCACCATTTATTTATAACAAACAACAATGTACAATATTTATATAAACAATAATGTTAACATAAATGCAATATACAGTTCACTGCCATTTTGTACAAACTTAATCTTAACAGTTCGTTGAATGGATAAAAGGCAAGAGATCAAAATACTGTTACTTTTTCCTTATTCATATAGTTTCTGCTGCAAAATGTCTTAAAATATGGAGAAGGATATGTCTGTTGAAGAAAATTGCTACTTCATTATTTATCACTATATATTTTGTATAAATCATTGGATAACTCGTATGTATCACTTGCTCCGTTAGATGTTTGTTCCTACTCTATCTATTTAATCATTGATTAACGTAATCTACCTAAAAAGAACTACATACTGTATCTCGTAGTGTTTTCGAGTCGGGTATACCCGGGTATCCAAGAGTTTTCGGATCTGGGCAATACTTGACAAAAAACCCGGGGACACGGGTATCAATAAAAATGGGGAATCTTTATTTTCCAGCGTAATAAACTATGTACTTAGAGAAAAGTTCATAAGGATCTTTTTTGTTGAGAATGATCTAAAGACCGAGAAAAACTTTGTCAGGCGCAAAAATGATTTTTGGAATGTGTTTATAAAAGTCATTTCAACAATTTTTAACGCTATTTGATGCACATCAAAAGAGGTCCTTTCTGAAGAAGATTATGCAGCGAAACCGAACCAGAATTTTTTTTAGATCAGATACTCGAAGATACTTGTCTACTCGTGCTCAAAATTAGTTATTCATTGATCGTTCCCTTGACGGTTTGATATTCTTATTTCATTAATAAATCATATATTAATTAAAGATAACCTGCCTGGACTGTTTACAATTATCCTCTGCTTTAAAATGTATAACCTAGATCTCTCTTCTATTAGAAGTCTTGTTACATGTTAACTCATGTCGTTTTGCTATTAAGGAGTTTTTTTATCAATGTTCGTTAGGATTCCTTATGCATGATTTTTTAAGACACGTCATCGTGTTTCTATTATTATTTTGCTATGAAGAAGTTTATTTTTTTATGTATAAATATATATTTTATTGGATCAAACTGATGGGTGGTGTGAAGTTTTATTTAGAATTGAAAATACCCGAATACGAACCCGCTACCCAGGTATTTAAAAAAAATAGGCGAAACCCGGGATTCAAAAGTCCGGGTATGCGAAGACCGTACTTTCCCGACGTCCAAACAAGTATCGGATCACAAAAATGAATTTAGAGATCTACTTTGATAGAAGTTAGAGTTTTTAGTTTTGCTACTGTCTGATAGACGGCGTCTAGTCCCTATTTCAATTGGGGTATTTTCAGGTGGAACATATTAATTAGCGCCTCAAGATATCCAATTTAAATAGGCATTACAGAAAAGAAATAAGGCCATAGCGCCATCTATGAGACAATATCAGAACCAAACTCCTTTCAAATTGGGTTTCTAAATTGTGTATGTGTTCCGCTATCTTGCAGGTGGCGCTAGTCTCTTTCAGAATCCTTTTTGGACACCAGAATATTATAGTATTTTGTTGACTATTTTCGAGATTACGTTAATCAATGATTTGAGCCACCGCCTACGCATACAAATAAACTCTAAGCACCTCGATCTCGGTTATGCAACGTCAAAGTAAATTGTTCTATATGTGATGCGTTTAAACATAAGCTTAAATTATAGAAAAGTCTGACACGGAATTGGGGAATTAGAAGATTAGTATCACTGGGTTTGGTATACTTATTAGTGGAAATAAAAATTAAAAACGTATAATACGAGTTTAAAAAAAAGACACTGCCGAACTAAGCACAACGAGGATATCTCAACTTTTTTTGGCAACAGTTTCCCTAAAATCCCATATTTTTGTTTAACGTGTCTCAAAAATGAATCAGAGGTTGAAAGCTTGAACGCCTTTTTTCCGGTAAAATACCGTCTCCGTGCTTCACTTGGCAGTATATATACAGTAATGGACAAAAGTCTATAGACAAATATGAATATTTACCTAAATACCTTTAGAAAACAAATTCATACTTCATTGCTCCATAAACAAATGCGTTATTAGTAAAAAAACTAAATTCTTTTCAACATTAGTTTAGTACAGTTTCGTGTCAGAAGAGGATTAGTTTGTGTTCATCAAGTATTGTGGAATAAGTTGAGTGATTTTAAGACCATGCCGCTTGGTCGAGAAATTTATTTCGATGTGAAAACTAAGATCATTGAGTTATACAAAGATGGTCAACGTCAAGTCGGCATTGCCAAAAATTTGAAGCTGAAGCGTAAAAAAAGTTTCGGCAATATTGAACAAATATAAACAAAAAGGTATCTTGGAAGAAGCTAAGAGAAGTGATCGGCCTAGAAAACTAAATGCTAGATCAGTTAGATTAATCAAAGTAATTTCGTCCAAAGATCCGTTTGAAACCCCAAGACAAATAAAAGCCGAAATCGAGACAAAAGGAATTGTCAGTATTTCTACGAAAACTGTAAGTAGAAGGTTAAATGATTTGAAGTTATTTGCACGTCGCCCGAGTAGGAAGCCGCTTATCTCGAGGAAAAACCGTAAGGACCGATTCCAATTTGCACGGTTGCATCTTGATTGGAGCATCTGTGACTGGAAGAGGGTATGTTTCAGTGACGAATTCAAGTTCAATATGTTTGGATCAGATGGTGTTCATTACGTTAGACGTCCTAGTGGACAAAGATTGAACTCCAAGTACACTTTGCCCACTGTCAAACATGGAGGCGGGTCTGTTATGGTTTGGGGGTGCTTTTCGGGGTTTGGGATGGGACCTTTACATAGAATAGATGGCATTATGGATAAGTTTGTATACACAGTTATACTAAAGCATGTCTAATAAATTTATTTATGTATAAGTGAGTATTATGCTATAACCAATTATGTATACACGTTGGTGTATTAATAAAACAAGCTAAAAAAGAAATAAATTACAATATTAATTTGTCTATATACTCTTGCCCATTAGTGTATATATAAATATATATGTATATAGTATTACCGTGAGAGCATTGCATTGTCCATTAGCCCGTTTACACCTATACGAGACAGTCAAAAAATAAAAAAACATTTACTAAAAGATAGTTTCTTTGGCTTTCATTTTACAAGTGTGCAGTCCAAACATGCTTCTAAAGCAAAACTCGGTTCTATTCTGGACTTTTTAATGCTGTTACGGTTTTCCGTTTAAGCAATCTTTTTTACACAGCAAATTATCGCTATTAACTACTTATCTGATAACTGGAATGATGACGAATTTATAACATTTTTTTTACCAACTTGCCACATTATTTTAAATCTCTTTCGACACCAAATCAGTTGAAAAATAAATCACATCAGGGCATAATTTATAAACATCATCATGACAATATGGACTTTAATTCACTCCACATACAAATAAATAATATAGCAAATCCATTTTTCCTGCTGCACAACAACAAATTGAAAAGTAAATGTGTGAGACCGTCGATTATATCCGGTAATCTAGCTCCCTCAAAACAAAAATGCAGTAATTTTATTTCGAGTACAAAACAGTCACTCGTAAACCCTTGACTTCGATGCGTTCATGTAACTCGGTATTTCCAAAGGATATCAAGTATTGCAAATTCGTTCATGTTTCTGAATAAAAATTTCACAACCTCATTCTAAACCTTCCCCAACAAATCGTGCACGTAAGCCTTCTTCCTATACCTCCTCCTCCTCCTCCAAACCAAATTAATCAAGACCACAAGAAACGTGAAGCACGCAACGTACAACACGAAGCACATGTAAGTGTCCACTGTCCTAAACACATCATCAGCCTTTGGGGAACCGTTGAGTCCAAGATGAAGGATCCTGGTGTCTGAACCAATGTAACGCACATTGATTCCGGCGTACATGTGCCTGAGGTACTGCTGAACTTCGGGGAGGTTCCAGGAATCGTCGGAATTGTGGCACCTACGTGAAAGTAGTAAGGGTAGTAGAAAGATATATTAAGCACGTCTAAACTGGTTAACCACATAAATAAAATAATTATCAAAACCTTCAAATTAGTAGATTCAAGCCATATGACGTACATGATATACACAAAGTTGGGATTTTCCTTTACACGACGTGTATATCTTGAAAACATAAGCAATTTTTCTTAGTACCATATACACCAATGGCAATATCTGAATACCGTCCTGTAGCCGCGACATCCCCGAGTGGTACTAGGACACTAGCTCAACCCGACGACAGAACTGGGTCGGGGTCAGTGTGTCAGGTCAGTATGCAACCTTCAACCGACGGTTACGGTCACGCGTGTAGAGGTAATCGCGTAGACGAGAATCCCTCAACAAGCACTAGAGAAGTGCAAGTATCAAAAACTAAAGTGTGGCAAACACTGCGTGAAGAGGGGCTGTATCCGTTTCACGTCCAACGTGTACAAGCCCTTCAACCTGACGATTTTGTGAGTGGTTGTTGCATCAACATGACAATAATCCGGACTTTTTGAAGTGCATATTGGTGACAGACGAATCTACGTTCACGCGTAATGGGGTAAATAACTTTCGCAACACTCATGTTTGGTCAGTAGAAAATCCGCACGCTGTCCGTCGGGCACATTTTCAACAAACATTTTCGGTGAATGTTTGGGCTGGCATGGTGAACGGTATGCTCATCGGACCATTTATTCTCCCAAATCGATTGGACGGGATGCAATACCTAGACTTTTTACGCAACATTTTGCCTTCCTTGTTTGACTGCGTCTGCTCGGTAGCGCATCAACTGATTTCATTTTCTGTTGGAGCGGTATGATTTCGGGCAGAGACGTACTTAGCCCTTCTCGTCAACTGGAGAGTGAGTACTTTTTCCGTTCTTTTTTTTACTTGGTCGCCCTCATTTCACTACACATCACCTTTGTTATTTCAAGGGTAGTTGTTTCTGAAAAGGAAAACCCCAACTTTGCGGATACCCTGTATTTTGCGGAATTTTTCTTTTTGAAATTGCGAAAAGAGAGGACTGCAACGCTTTCTAAATAAAATTCAAAGGTTCCATGTTATAATTAGTAGTACATATAAAAATAAAAACAATCAACTATGCCCAATTACCGTCAAAAAGTAGCAACTTTGACATTGGTTTTTTCGATGAGTGTCCGTACATTTCAAGAGGTATTTGGCGAATAGCGAGTAATGCTGATTTACAAGGTTTGAAAGTGAAATAATAACTTTATTTTACAATTGTTCAGGTATTTCAATATGGTCTCCTTCAAAATACTCCCTCTGAGACAAGATGCACTTCTGCCAACGCCGTTTCTACTATTGATACGATCGCTGAAAGTTTGGCAAATTAAGCCAGAAGACATGTCTACGAATTATGAATAAAGCAATTTTTTGCAGGATGAATATTTCGGCATGGGTACTACGTAAAACACCTATATCAGGAATGGTTGTTTTTCTCAAAAAATAAGGTTTATATCTTCTTCATTTTTTCTGAAAAAGGTCCATTTCAATCATTCACCTGACATTTTAGTCCAAAAATTTGGAAGTTCCGGTTGGATAGTTTTAAGGAAGTTGGAGAACAAATTACACTAGAAAACATTTCTACGAATTATGAATAAAGCGTTTTTTCGTCAATTTTGGACTGAAAAAGAAGGATAAAATCGCTTAAAAAATACTGATCTCAAAATACTCTTCGAGGACTTTAACTTTAATTCAGATATTTGGAGAAAAAAAAATAATTTTTAACCGAGTTTTAAGCTTTGAATATATCGCACGGTAACTCAGATCAAATTTGCTTAATAAATTTTTTGGCTAGACAAACTTTTTTCGTATTTTTTGGATCTCCACAAGTCTGATCTAGCAAGATAATTTTCGTGGGTATTTTAAAAACCAAGAAAAAAATTCACGCCACTGGTTACCTAAGAAACAGTACCGTATTAGGTATATTTTTCTTCTCAAGCGGAAGCCAGGAGAGTGTACACCTAATGGGCAACCAGAACCTAATGGACCCAAGCATGTTATCTCACCTGGGACACCTCTCCTTAGTCGGAAACTGCACCTTGGGAAACTCCGGATCCTCCGTTTCATCCCCTGCCAACCTCTTGTTGACCTCATTGTGCGCCATCCACAACCACAACACCGACTCGTCCCACGAGCTCACACCCCACAGGTTCCTGCGTTTAGCCATTTGCTGGAAGTGTTTGCTACACTCGCTACAGCCGAAGAAGTGCTTGATGTAACCGTACATGGCTGTTAGAACCATTGTGGGGTCTGAGGTCGGAGGACTGGCTTCGGCGGCATTGACCGTGAGATAGTGGAAGAGTTTCCAGACACCGCAGGGGTAGCCGCGGTGTTTCGAGATGCTGCCTGAAAATAGATAAGCGCGTCAAGTAAGAAGACTCGGTACTTCCTGGTTGTTCACCTTTCTTAACTATAGCCCGTATATGTCAAACCGTAAGATGCAATTTTAACGTGCATCATGCTGGAGTCGAGCACAGGCAGGAACTGTATTAGTGGATGCAGGTATATGTAAAAACGGGATCATCTAGGAAACGTTTTCAAAAATGGTAATTTTGGGTCGAGTAGCTTCACTATTGAAAAAAATGAAAAATTCTTGCGCAGCTATAATGTCAACTGAAATTCGTTTTTCTTTGTAATTCGAATGCGTAGATTATATCAGTTTCTCGCTGAGATGGGTGCGCTTCCCCAAAAGTGGAGTTTTTTTACTCTAGCCGCATTTTGTCAAAATTTGTTGCTGGTTATTTTCCCAATGTGCCCTAGCATGCCGATTTTCTTTTGTTCATAACAAAGTATGATGATAAAGTAAATTGGAAATGGGAGGATGGACAATTTTATGTTGAAAGGGCATACCACTGAGGGAAACTTTCAAACATCATTGAAGTTGATGTTCCAAAGGCACAAGAAGAAGGTGAAAAAGAAACTTTAAAGTCGACGGGATATGCATATTTTCATTAATTTCACAGTGACACATACCTTTACATGCCAGCCACTGCTCTGGTGAAGAAAACACCTGTCTGCTATCCTTTTCAGCATCTTGTACCAATATTTTTATGTCTTCCCCTCTAACATGCTTCTTATTTGAAACAAAATCCCTGAGCTCAATCAGAAACATATGTCCATACTTTCCAAAAGGAAAATACTTCACCAATACGTCCAAGTACGCTTTGAGGGCATCCAACCTTTCGCCAGTAATTTCTCTAAAACCAACAATTTCATGTTTCAGGGAATATCTTAGAGTGGTCTCCAAGTCCATTTGGAATACGACATCGCCGATCTTTTTTACCCTTTCTTTCAGAGCGTCTTGTTCTTTTTTGTGCAAGAATGTTGCCATGTCAGGTACCTCAGCTTCTGCCTGCTTCCCTGCAAAAAATTATAAATTGAAGACTGAATGGAACTATGTATACTGTGTTTGAATGTCAGCGATGCCACCTCTTCGAGTTTTGGCGCAAATTATGGTATTTACTCTAATCATATTAACAAATTTCCCAGAAATAATTGTAAAGTCTGATTTTATTGGTGCAAGTTGTTCAAGTGGGTATTGAAAACATGGACACATAAAATTGGGTATTAGCCGGATCTTTTTACGTGTGGTCTCATTTTGTAGGTCTCATAAATACCTAAAAATCTCATTTGAAAAGTTTTTTCGTTCCGGTCAACACTTGCGTTTGAATCTCGAAAAACACGTTGACTCATTCTTTGTTGTCGAATAAGAAGTTTTCCCACAAAAGTTCGTGTTCTACTAGCGAAGAGTAGTTGTGTATCCATCCTAATGAAGACCATGCAATATGTGCACTTCAAAATTCCTATAGACAAAACAATTCGAGAGAACAACATACATTGCATGAGCACCTATGCAGCAATTATATTTTTTTGCTGAATGAAACTCCATGTCTGTGTCAGGCCAAGAACTGTTCACCTTATCCTCATATGTTAATGTACCAAATAAAATAAAAATTTACTTACCTGCAAACAAATTTTTAGAGCCTTCCGCAGACACAGCTATGTGCCTGTCCTTCAAAAAGCCTTTGATGGCTTTTGTGTATCCATCTCTAGAATGTTCTGATATTGGAACCAGTTTTCTGTCACCTTTCCTTCCAAAGACATACAACTGAGGAAAGTCCTTTTGCTTCAACTCATCAACAAGGTCTGTGTTGTTATCGTAAGTGTATTTGACTTTTATATTTTTTATTTTATGCAGATCCATGGCAAGTTCTGGACCAATGTAGTCAGTAGGTTTTTGTATAATCAATATCAAATACTCAACATCGTCATGTAATGTTTGGACCGGTTTTCCTGAGAACGGTAACAAGTTTGGTAGATGTTTGCCGCGACCCTGCGTTTGCTCATTTATCAGGACATCCAGTAGTTTTTTTCTATGTTCATCTACATCTTGGCCGGCCTCTACCTGGATTTCAAAATCTTCAGATCAGCAACTTATCCATGTTCAGATTAAATCATAAGTCAAGGAAGAAATAGGTGCTTGGTTGACAGTGTATTTAACCTTGACTGTAAAGGTCATTGGCTAATTAAGGGTCAACCCACTATAGTTTTAGCACCTGTTTGTACAGCATTTTTAAATTTCAGATATCTTAAGTTATTTCATTATAGTTGAAATCACGAAAGATGACGATTACGCCATCATTTTAGTCTGTAGTAAAGACTAACGACAGCGATTTGTGAATAGTTTTAATGAAGTTTCAGATATGTTAGGCAGAGACAAACATAATTTTATTGTCTAAACAGATTGTATTGCTAATTTGCATGTATCCAACAAAGATAGACGATGTTTTCATGTTGCATGATCGATCATATTTGAAAGATGAATAGTTAGGTTATGTTAAAGCAGGTTAGGTTGTTTTCGAATAATACTTTGGTCTTTGGTGTTCCTATCTTAAGGCTCTACTCATAACTGTTTTTTTTTTCAAAACAAAAACTCCCCACCCAAAATTAACATTAAGGTATCACCTAAAACCATGAAATAAATGAAAATAAAAATAATCAGCGAAATAACCTAACTTTGCAAAATCATAATATAAATTTGTTGTCACTGTGTTCCTGACATCGTGATTTTATCATTGTCCATTGATTACTTCAGTATAATTTATAATATGACATAATAGTCATCTTTCGTGATTTTCACCATAATTCTGCATTTACAGCCCAACTAAGAAAACAATGTTGTTATCAAAGAAAACAAAAAAAAAATGAACTTCGAAACAACTGTTCAAATTCATTTCTTCAAACACTTTTTACTTTATTGGTAAAGAGTATGTAAGGATAATCTGTTTTAAGAGAAAATAACTAAAAGGAATCATTTTAGTTTTTTCTTCAAGTATTTTTTTACTCTATTTATGCTTTAGTCTGGCTATAAAGAGGGAATAGTCCAAACCATTGCTGTATTTATAAGTATGTGCTGCATTCACTGAAATGTGCTTAGTAATTTAATTCAGATGCAAAAATGCTAATATTCATTGCAAAACAATGGAAATATAAAACACACATGGATTTTGCCATAACATGTGGAATAGTATCAGTTTGGTAATCCAATTAAGCATTATCTACAATGGAAACTCGACTATAATTTTTATATCATAATAGTATTTGTTAGGATTGTAGCTAGTATCTTTATGACTAATCTAATCAAAATGTCTTGAAGAAAAACTTACTGGCAGCCCGAAATTAGTTGGACCTTCTTCATAGTTTTCATGGAAGTATTTCAGAGTAGGGTAACTCATAATTTCAAAATTCCTACACAGAGGATGATTTGCTTCATCTGAACAATCGATGGCTCCTATACCTACTAGATCTCCCCAGGCCTTAACGTCAGTCGCCAGAGCCTTCCATGATGGTGCGAATCTTTGGCAGAATCCACACCAGCTGTTGTAAAACTCCACAAACCAGGCTCTTTCATTGCTGTATATTTCGTTTTTGAAATTATCTGCCGTCAGGATTTCTACATCGTCTTTCAGTGAATATAGCCCGCTTGGTTCGGTACTTTTGTTCTTTTTTACAAATATATCTATTGCTGAAGAATTGGCACAGTGGATGAGCAGGATTGATGCAAAAAGTGAGCGTAAAATAGCGCTGCTGTAGTTTTTAGGTATCATATTAATGAAATTAACATAAGAATTTATTCCGTGAATATAATATTACGTGTTATCATTCAAAGCCACTTGGAAACTATTCTTCTTCACCATTTTTACTAGGCACGTATCTTACGATGTTTGAGTAGGATGCACTAGTAAACACGTCAACTATGTATGTTTTTGACGTGTTCTTCACGCCTAGCTGAGATAAAGTACAGACAAATACTTCAATCAGTATGGACATTAAAAAAATGAGATTTACCTACGATTTCGTATTCATGAATCGATAGGCTTTACGAGACAAAATAAAAACTCAAATTTATCAAAAAATTCTATTTTCCATTCAATTCAAATAAAAACAAATGTCAAAATGCTGTCTACTTGACACTAACAGCAATTTCTAGATAGAGATGGGGGGATAAGATATAAGAGTGCACTGTTATTCAAGCTATGCACCATTGCCATTTTCCTTCATCCGAACAAACATTCAATTTGTTACTTTAGTTGTGCCAATGAATTCTTGGGACAAGGTATCAATTAGAATATACGAAATTTAGGCCCGAGTAAAGATAATATAGCCACGCAAGACAAGTATTAAAATAGTATAAAAGTGCAAATGAAGATTTGAAAACTGCCGCTCTGACGTACTAACTAATATCGTTACCCCGGGATAGACATATGTTTTGGCAGTCCTAGATTACGGCGCTGCCAGCTCATCGGACAATTGTGCTACCTCTGCTATTTTGCTAGAATGTTATAAAAAAAAAGTTTTGAATGAAGTATTGAGGATACCAATGGAGATATATAAAATTTGAGGCGTAGCAATGTTTGCCAAAAAACTAAAAAAACCTGTTATTTACATTTTCCGTCGTCTGGCCTCTACGTGGCGGAACGTTAAGGTCTCTGAACACTTTTATAAATGCCTAGTTCTATAGGAAAAAATACTTTTTGAATACGGAACAGCTGAAAAAAAAATGTTTTATTATATAAATATATTAAATTAACTATTTGATCTAAAATTATATGACTATTAACAGAAGTACGATTTTCATTTTGCCTACTATTTATTAGGGGATTATGTTTTTTAGTGACTGCATTCGCACTTGGATGAGGAAAACCTCCACCGTTTCTGATAAGATTAATTGAATCAATCCACAATTCTGGCTTCACTTGTACAATCGAAAATCGCCAGCACGCCACAGTTATTAACCTAAAAAAAAGTAGCATTAAAGTAACGGTTTATACTAGGGTCATCTTTTAAGTAAGAACCGTTTTGTAATTCAGTCAGATGACTACTGAAAAAAAAGTAGCTAAACCGAATAGAGCTCTGCACGGAGCTGTAAATGCGTAGACATTCCGCTGCGCCGACGTTTGCCGAGAGACTGAAGAGTGCGCTGGGGCGATACGGTCCGGCCGGGTAGTACCGCCACGCCCCTTTCCAGCTGCCACTCGCATATGCTCCCGACGCAGCGAGGTACAGCACTCACACGCTTCAGTCTCTCGGCAACCGTTGGCGCAGCGGTATGTCTACGCGTTCACAGCTGCAGAGCTCTTTTCGGTTTAGCTACTTTTTTTAGTAGTGGTGTTCACTATAGGGTTCTCGATTGTCTCTCAGTGGTGTTTTAGTGTTGCAACGTGGGTGTTAAGTGTCTCCAAAGCGGAAATTAGGTCTACTTCCAACTCTTCTGAGGGAAACGGGATATCTGTGCATCAAACTGGTGAGCCTTGCATACTCATCTACTTGTGTGTTAAGGTTGACATCCTATGTTTTTTTTTAAATAAGCTGCGCACATTGCATACACTGAGAGAGTAGTCATATACTGAGGTGTTTGGAAAAGACTAAAATTTGGCCAAATCGTTTTCATTTCAAAAAACTAATGGCACTATTCAGGCACTACATAATGATTTCTTAAAAAAGTACTACCCTGTATCTAATAGCATCTTTTTCTACGACTTAAACGATGTATCACGTTACATTTGTTTTCTTAGTTATAAACAAACGTGTTTTTTATACTCTTTGATTTTATTTAAGTAGGCGTTGCAAACAAATGCTTGATGTAAGATTGTGTGATTACTGAACTTTACCTAGTCTGATTCTTATCTTGGCCACCCTGTAATATAATATTATAAAAAGAAATTTAGAGAAACGTGCACTAAACTAACGTTCTTGGAAGTATTCTTATGTACTCACATTCATTTCTGAAAAATCTCAAAACTATTAGCAAGGCCTCGAATAAAACATTTTTAGTCTAAGGAATTGGTGATAGCAAAATCGTCCGACGAGCTGGCAATGCCGCAACCAAGTTGACAAGAAAGACAACGTCAACTTGCAAAACGTATGTCTATCCCGGGGAAGAAAGGAGTCATTTAGAACGTCGAAGCGACAGTTTTCCGAACTTCATTTGTATATTTTTAAGGATTATGCAACGATTTCGACAAAAATTCAGCTACGGATAGTCTTCTAGAGTCTAGTAGAGTACATTTCCATAGTTGTCTTGCGTGGCCATGCTATCTTTACCCGGGCCCGAAAATGTATCCAGTAGTTAAAAAGGTCAGAATTAACAGATTTTATTTTACAGGAGTCATAATCGGCGATAGCTTGATTTGCGCTGCTCAGTTCTATAACATGTTTTCTCATCTCTAACAAAACTTCATTGACAGGTGTACTGTCAATGCTAGAGTTGTCAAGTTGTCATTTGATTTTGACGTTGAATGTCATGAGGTGGAGATTGCAAATGCAAAAGGGGAAAAACGAAAGAAGTGAAACCGCCGAGGAACGTTTAATACTCCAATCTACGTTGTAAGCTAAACGTATCTTGTAAAACATTCTAGGAATATGCGAAAGAAGCACTAGACCGGCATATCCAGAATGGAGTCTTCAATAGTTTATTATTTAGCTTTGCTACTTTTTTTAACATCCAACGTTTGCTGGTCGAGAATCCACAATCTAGAAATAAGGGTAATGTTGAAACATAATTTCTGTTCTCCGGTCCTGATTTCCGTTTGCTTTCAGAACGATGCACGACGATACATTTCTTTGAGCACTTTTGGATTCTACAGAGGCGGGAGTCTCATCGTAGAGCTTACAAATTTTAGGTCACATCCACAAAATGATTCTAACTTGGTAAGATATATGTAAAGAATTATCTTCAATTTGTAAGAATGCTTGTTTTTAGTTTGGATTTAGCTTGGACAAGACGATAAATGATGGAATGAATCCTTATTTAGATGGTCATCAAGATCACTGTGTGTTACAAGAACCGATAGAAAAAACCAAGACTAATGAGGAGGTTGTCATACATTTTAAATTAGATCTTAAAAATAAAAAGTATGTACAGCTTGCAAACATGTATAATATCAATATGAAAATTTATCAAGCAATCCTATTTGTAAAACTCTGTATTTAGTGTCTCAGAGTCATTTTATATAAGTGACCCTCCAATTGCCATGAGCTCCACCAGGTCTACATAGTCAGTTGCTGCTTTTTGGCCAGATTGTATGACAACTTAAGCATAATTTATTGTTTCCATTGTAATTTGTGTTGAAAAGAGCATTTATCTACCTTAGCAAGTCAACCATATATTTGTTTTTAAAGGTTGAGGGTCGAATGCAAAAATCAGGACATTGTGCACATTTTCAAGTCTCCTGATGATGTAGATGTAAAACCGACTCCAATGTGCAGTGAATTGAGTTTTGATATAACCAGTGCTAAAGTGAATGGTATCAATTACTACAATACTTCAGTAAGTGCTTTGATAAACTTGTACATGTTGAGAAAGCAGATGAGAAAAAGAATTTTTTTGACTTGTACAGGCGTCCCTCGTTTTTCGCGGCATATTTATACGCGGTTTCACTTATACGCGTTTGCACTTTTGACACCAGTGATTTATTTTAAGTGGTTCACTTATACGCGGTTGCCTTTCAGTGACGCGTGCCTTCTGATTCATCGCGTCACCATGTGGTTTCAATGCGCAATCGGGCATGACCTGATTAGTAGGGAATATCCTGGGCAACTTTTAAAAATCATTGAAGTAGAAGGTTTTTAACGCGGACGAAACTGGCTTGTTTTGGAAAAAGATGCCGAACCATACATTTTTATCAAAAGAGGAGAGGACCGCACAGTGCTTTAAAGTAGCAAAGGATCCTCACACTTTTGCTTTATTCAAATGCTTCTGGAGATTGTATGATTAAGCCTTTATTAGTGTACAAGTCATTGAATCCTGTGCTTTAAAAAACAAAGATAAAAATAAATTGCCTGTGTTTTGGCGTGCCAATGGTCATGTATGGGTAACGGGAGACATTTTCTTAGACGGGTTTCAGAACTGTTTTATACCAGAGGTTAAACGTTGTTTTTGTCAGAAAATCTTGAATTTAAGGTGTTATTACTCATAGATAATGCCCCTGGTCACCCACCCGCCCGTTTACAGGAAATAAATCCCAATGTTCGAGTAGAATTTCTTCCACCAAACACCACATCAATCCTACAGCCTCTTGATCAGGGAATCATTGCCATCTACAAAGCTTATTACACGCGACGCACGTTTAAAATGCTGTAATGGACCCCAGTATAGTCTGCCTATACAGGGTGACTTTGAAGTTGAGTCATTAATTTTCAGATAATGATTGTAGAAGGAAGATAAACCAGAATATGTGTGTAAAAATAAAATAAAAATTTTTACCTTGTTTTATAAAGTGTCCTCCCGACAAGTATTTCAGTGCGGACCTGTATTTGATCGTGAGGTCCCCTGTGAGGTCTTAAGTCACCTGATTCACGAGCCCGTTGTACTACATTAACAAAGGCACGAGGGGTTGGTTGCACTCGATTGGGAAACCGATCCGCATAAACATGTGCCATTTTTTATTTCGTTTGAGCCACGCAACAGACACTATTCACACGCTAACCGACAGACACTAACTGGATGTATAACTGAACTGAATAAAATACTTAATTACAAAAACATCGTTCCAAATTCTTTCGCTTTTTGTTTCCGATGCGATGAACCGGTAAGGCGGATTATATCCGTTGTTGCCAAACACGAGTACATGATATTATTATTGAGACAGGGCGGTACTCAAACTTCCAAAGGGCTATAACTTTGTTACTTTAATTTTACCAGAAAAATGGTAAAGGAAAAAAACATTTCTTTTGATCAGATCTACTCACTGTTAAAATAAATGACTCAACTTCGAAGTCACCCTGTAGTAGCTCAGAGCTTCACAGCGACACAAAACGTGCGCCGAGGTCTCTTCCTCTACTCCGCAGCGTTCACACAAGGAATCCTCAGCCACCCCCATCACGTGCAGGTGACGCCTTAACGTGTTATGGCCAGACAACAGTCCCACCAGCAGCCTTAAGTTGGCTCTATCCACAGATAGGCAGAAGCGTCCATCCTTAGCACTGGGCCCTTCAATGAGTTCCCGTGCCTGGCGGAGATGTCTGGAGATACTTCTCCATTTCTGAGAGTGTTGTCTTGCAACCCACGTCTCCATCTTCCTCCTAGCTTTATGCGCGGTCACTCCTAGAGCTGGCTCACGACCAACAAGCTTGCTGGCTGATCCTGTCTTCGCCAGAGCGTCCGCCGTCACATTGCCCCTTATCCCAGCGTGCCCCGGTACCCATATTAACGATACCGGATGCCTCGCTGCGAGGCAATCCAGAGCCTCCTTGCACTGCAATACAAGAAGGAAGTTGAGAAGAATTTACGCAACGAAGCTAAACAGTCAAAAATTACGTCTTATTTTTCTAAAAATTAATATTTTTGTTAAAAAATTAACGTTTAATGATCTCATACATAATATGTACAAACATACCTATGTATATTATGTATTTAACAAAAGTTTATGTAATAAAATGTTTTTGTTTCGATATACGCGGTTTCTTTTTACGCGGTGTTTTCAAAGAACGTTACCCTCGCGTAAAACGAGGGACGCCTGTATTCTATTTTTTGCTGTTATAATTGAGATTTGCATTTAAAAAATGAATGAAAAACAAAAATTGTCTCTATTATATATTCTTGTTTACTTCATGTCCCTAGTTCTTAAGATACAATTGATATAATGATATAAACTCATTTTTTCTGAAGATTTAGCATTTCAATTTTAACAAATTTTTGTCATGGCGATTGTGTACTAATTTCACAGTATTTTTTCCAGTTCACCATGTTAGTGGAAACCCTTGCAGAAGAAGGCCTGTACAATCTCTTCTTCCACAGTTGTCCAAATTACAAATCAGATACAGAGGTTTTTGTGGACTTTGACATGAAAATTGTAGAACAAAACAGAAACAGCTACCTATCAGCTGGAGACATGCCTCTTCCAGCACTGTATTGCATGATGTCTATCCTCTTTATGCTATCAGGCATGTTCTGGGTGTTTTTGCTAAAACAGTCCAAACACCCTGTGTTCAAGATACATTACATGATGGCTGTGTTGGTGTTTTTGAAAGCTATCTCATTGGCTTTCCATGGCGTGAATTACCATTACATTGAACGACTTGGTGTACATCTGGCAACATGGGCGATTTTGTTCTATGTAGCACATTTGCTAAAAGGAGCACTTCTGTTTGTGGTAAGATTATTAGGAATTTACACACTGTTCTTTATGCAGCATATTCCCACTGATACTAAACAACTTGTGTATATGCATTGTTAATCAGGGCAAAACTGACCCTAAACTCCATCCAAATCCAAGGTGTGATTACTTACTGGAACATTTACATTCATTTTTCACTTGAATATGTTTGTTATACTTCATTCTGTATCAGAAAAAAATCTTCTGGATGTTCAAGATGAAGGACAGTATCTCCAGATTTTGGGAATGGTTAAATTTGGGTTAATGGGAAGAAAGCTTTGGTGTTGAACTATTTTGAATTTAGACATGATTTAGTGATACGTACTATTGAATAGCACGTGATGGGGTGACAGGCCAAGGTTCACTACTAAGTGGACTGGTATCTTGCTAGCCAAGGTTGCATGATATTGGTGGTGTTGTACTGACTATGCCTTGTACAAGTGGGTTCTTGTGAAAGGTTTATTAATATGCCTCAAATTTAACTGTATTTTTAGGTGTTAGTCCTTATTGGAACAGGCTGGACATTCATCAAACACGTTCTGACTCCTCGTGACAAAAAACTGTTCATGGTAGTCATACCACTTCAAGTCCTAGCCAATATGGCCGAGATCATTCTAGAAGAGTCAGAAGAAGGGGATAGAGAATATCTGGCGTGGAAACACTTTGTGACATTAGTTGATTTGCTGTGTTGTGGATGCATACTATTTCCTGTTGTTTGGTCTATCAGGCACTTGCAAGAGGCCAGTCAAACTGATGGCAAAGCTGCAATGAACCTGAGAAAGCTCAAGCTGTTTAGGTTAGTCAACTTTAGCTCCTGGTCAGAATCAATTTTGAAGAAACAGGCAAAACATACATCATATATTGGGCGACGGGTGAGGTTAATCATAGCAAGGTTGCCAGATGGTTGGTACTGTCTGTAGGTCAGGGAAAAATGTCTATGGACTAATTGTATACACCTGTTTGATTTCTTTGAAATACATTTTCGTAACTTTTTACTCTAAAGTGATGTAATTTTTTCATTTGGGTTTGGATTTTTTTCAGGCACTTTTACGTGATGATAGTTTGCTATATCTACTCAACACGAATAATCGTCTACCTATTGAAGATCACAGTGCCTTTCCAGTATGGTTGGTTGTACGAAATGTTCAGGGAAATGGCTACGTATGTTTTTTTTCGTGCTGACGGCGTACAAGTTCAGACCTGCTTCGCACAATCCTTACTTTGCACTCGGCGATGACGAGGACGAAGAAATGGATCAAGTGTAAGTGCAAATTATAAACAGATTTGCTTTTTCATTATTTTATTCATTAGCCTGATGCGATTTAGTTGGGATATCAGGTGCGTTTACCCAGGAAGTCATGAAGAAAGAAGAAAAGTACATTTGCAGGGAAGCCTTTGTATCTTTGTGTCAATAATGATGCAAAAATTGAAGTAGTCGAATCATTTCAAGAGTGTTTCAAGAGCATTATGCATACATTATTTCAAAAATATCAAAGAAGAAATGACTTTTATAGAGTTTCCCATAATCTCAGTATGTATTTAAAAAAAATGTGTATACCATAATTCTACTCAATTTTTTATTTTGGTCAACTACTTTGTTTACAGCAAATAAAAACATTTTCAAGATTAAAAATTCTGCAAAATAAATCTATGAGAATCATTTCAAATACAAACAAATATGTTGAGATTAAGTCAGTGCTAGGAGAACTGCAGTGGTTGAATGTAAAAAAATTATGTTATTTAGCTATCATTTTCATATTCAAATTATAAAATCATTCATTGCTGCCACACTCAGAAAACTTCACAAAATTAAATCGTCACTATGATAACTACAAAACTAAAGGCAGTATATATTTTCATCTGCAAAATTGTAATAGCAGCATAACTGGTAATTCTGTATTCCAAAAGGAGCATCCATTTTAATAAATTGAATAATGATATTAAACAGTGTTCGAATTTAAAAAGGTGAAATTGGAACATCACTATGAATAACCAAAATGCATAGAGATGTAATTTTAATAGACAAAAGAACACTGATTTAAAAAAAATGTGTAAAAGAATATTAATATAAAATTGGCTTTGTAGCAGCAATGCCAAATAAATCTTCCACAAACTAGATTTTGGGAATTATAAATTGAAGCTAGTTTGATGTTGGTGAGAAGTTAATTTTGATTGGTCCTAATGTTTGACGACGAATCGAAAACTGGCGCTTGATAGATGTGCATGAGATGTGACACCGAATCTGTTAATTTCTCTTCCAGATTGACTGAATCAGGAGCGACGGAAGGTTTGAAAAAGGTCAACAACCGAGTGGTGAAGGTGCCTCTTCATCAACAAACATTGACGGAGGTGACAGAAGAAGAGAAAGATGCATTATTGAGCCAAAGAGAGAGTAGTCACGAGTATGATTAGTACTTACATTTACTTAGGAGATTTTTTCCGCATTCATTTCATTTTTGCTACTATCATTGATTAACATATTCCACAGGAAGAGACCCAATCCAATTGAAAGACGGGCATACGTACCTTACTTCTTTTAATTTGCCTGGACCGAACGCAATTTTTCGAGATTCTTGAATGAAAGCTAACCGCTTGTGCTTACAACTATATACCCGTATACGATTTTTCGGAGGAACGCGTCCGCAACAGCGAGTGTCTTTAATAAACAACTTGAGAGAAAGGAAAAATGGCACCACTGTGATAGGACAGTAAGGGTGGTACCGTGGTAAGCGCCCACGAGGCGGCGTGGTGCAAGTACAAAGCGATTGGATATACCTTACCAATCCGGTTTGTTTCACTTGAACGCCGCCAGATGGGGAGTCAAGCAGCTTCAGAGAACAAAGGAACAGTGGCGGGGTAGAATTGAATTTGCTTATAACAGTGGATCCTGAAAGTTGGAGCTGCAATCAGTTAGTTCTGCTTCACGGAATGGAGGAGATGCGGTTCGAATCCCGCCGTCGCCCATTTTTTCTTTCTTTCAAGTTGTTATTTAATGAACATCCAACTTGCGATAATGGTACTGTAACTTGTATAATATGGAGCAGTGCTAGTATATCGTGTTTGACACTTACATGGAAGAACGTATTAGTACAAGTAAATTCACTTGTAGTTATTACACCATACTTTTTATGGATTAGGCCCTGTACGAAAATGCACTCTGATGTAGAATCTCGAGCTCCACGCGAACCTCCTGTCAAAAATGGTGGTTGCTATTTGGATTTAAAAACTTTACTACCTACGAGGTAATTTTCTAGATCATCGACCAATTTTTTTGATATCCTAAAACTTTTCCTAGCACCATTTTCCCACATAATATTCGATTTTTCGGGGTACTTCTGTGACTACTCTCGTAATGTTTATCGTAAGTATGTACGTTGAAGAAACATTAGATGGAATTTCACTTTTTAAGTTACAACATTGATAAGTCCCTTGAAGATGAACAAGTTCTCAGCTGTTTCATATAGCACATATTTCTGTATTTATTCATAGTATTGAATAGTATAGCTAAGATTTTCTTCAGATTGTGTAGATATTTTAAATTATTACACATTCACGTAATGATATAATGGCTCATGCAGTTGTCTACTGTGATAGTGATTAGGAGTGATTTTTGAGAATATACTTTTTTGAAGAGCTTAAATAAAAATAAACGTTATGATCTAAAATAGATTTATTATGTCGTTTTCTTTAACATCTCTCGTCTAGAAAAGGTAAGTCAAAAACTAAGTTTTTGGTGTCTCAAAATAAATAATGATAAATAAAAATGCTATTGGATGCTTTTATCAACATTTATTTGCTAAAAATACACAAACTTTGCAGACATTTAGGTCCCAGGTAGAGATAAGAAAGGTACACATTTTTCTTGAGTACCTTGTATGCGTTTTGTATGAACCATCGATTCTTTTACTAAGTGATATACCGGGTGTTTCAAATTAGACTCTCGCCAATGGGAACACGGACACGGTAAGAGCTATGACGTCAGTTAAACGGGGGCAAAATTGCAGATTAAGGCGGCAGTGAGTTTCAAGCCATTTACAAGGGTTCAGCTGCTTCGAAACTGACACTCTACTCTTCAACATTTTTTAATGAAATTCGTACAGTATATTCACAAGACAATTGCCCACCGTGCTATCGGAGCACTTTTTGAAACTTTCTTTTTGCACAAGACTTATGGTGGGTTGAAATGCTTTTTTTTTGTTGAACTTCGCGACTTTTTTAAAAAGAGTCTAGTGGAAAAAATGAAGAAGTGGCTCGATAGCCCCTGTAGGGTTTTGGCGCAAAAAATTGCGGTAATGAGATATGTTTTTTAGGCCTTATATGACATCTACATCACGAAAAACTATATCACTCGTTTCCAGCTGTCCGTCTATAACTTGGAAATTACCGCTTGGATTTTTATGAACGGTTACTATCATGCCAAAGCCTTGTAGTTTCAATTTAATGGAGGTGGCGCTATAGGCATAAAACGAATAAAATAACAATCGCTGAAACTCCGTTTTTGACGTTTCAGGGGTTCATAATCTTTGTCATAAAAAAATTGTGGTGCTTAGAAACTGGGGATTAGCGGAAGGTGATGTTAAATGTTTCATCTTTGATATGTGAAACACGTTCTACTATCAAGAACCTTCTGATCCCAGTAATTACAGGAAATTTAAGTGAAGAAAATCCGACGATTTGAAAAAATCTGTACCGGCGTTATAGGTTTGACACCAAGGCCCAACAGATCTGCAACTGCGGACAGCAGGGTATAATAAATTCGGATATTTATAATGCGGATTATTGGGGCCAAATCTCAAATCGAAATCCGACTCTGTTATCATGGAAATTTACCTCGGTACGCGCCCGCAGCCATGATTTCATTTTTTAAAGTAGCGCCGATGACCGTCTAAGACCAGCCCACTGACGTTTCCTTTTCATCCCCCCGTTACCTCAGGAGATGGTCCTCGTGGAGCCGTGTTAAGGTAACAAAGAAAATGGTACGTAGAGAGTTTCTTAATTCCGAATATTTCCAGATATAAACAAAAGAAACCGAATTCTCCCAAAATCATTATGTATTTTTCCCTGACAAAATAAACAGTACCTTGACATCGCCAACTTTTCTCCCGTACAAGGTGGCATAATTGTGTTGATAAATTGGCGAATCATTTGAATATTCTTTAAACACGGTTGTCAGAAATGAAAGATTGGTGATTCAATCGGATCAACATGTGATAAACTGTCATTTTCAAGGCCAACTATGACATTAGTTTTTTCGAAATTACTTAGGTTTGACAATGTATGGCATATTATAAATTCTTGTAAACGGAATCAAAAACTCGATTCAACTGTGCAAATATCCAATATCGCGACTATAAAAAAATAAAGTTGATGATTGTAGAGGAGAAAAAGTGTCAATGTTAACGTACTTTTCATTTTGAAATTCCATCGCAAACAATAAAACGATTTTGAGAAAATCGAGTCTCGTCTATCTCCGAAAATACTGGATATTGCAAAACTTTCTATGCGCCATTTTCTTAGCTGCCTAAAAGCGCAACTTCGACTTCGTACCTCTCACCGTTTCCGAAATCCTTATTCTGAAAGTCGAATTTGAATACACCCGGTACACGAAATACGCCCAATAATTATTGTTGAAAAAAGGTATTTGGATCTAATACAGGGTGGCCAATATATCACACTGATTTAACCCTTAACCGGAAAGGTGCCGCCTGTGAGACTGCGGCGTTTCTATACCTGAGCGTATCTTTTTTTATTGCACCTCTAACAAACGTAAAAACCCATCTAATCCATAAGCTATTAGTGACCATCGCCCACCCCCATTCACACGAGTCTAGCCAAAACGTGCCTTAAAATATGGACCAATTTTAGTTTGTTGCAGTCTGTCAGACGGCACGTTTCCGTTCCCGTTTGCTATTTGTGTTGCATAGGTGCGTTTGCGAGTATGGCGGGACCTTCTAAACGTGTACGATACGATGATCCGGAGTTCGAAGAAACCGTTCTAAAATGGTTTGAGGATGAAGGAAGTGACTTTAGTGATATAGACAGTGCCTCAGAAGACGAATGCATGGAATCAGATCATACAAGTGATAGTGAGTTATCAGAAGACGGAGCCGAAGGAAATGAAGAGGATTTACCAGCTCAGAATTATTTCTATGGAAAAAATCGTCATAGGTGGAGTATTTCGGAAGTTGTACCATCATCACGTACAAGGAAGCACAATATAGTCATTAAAGTACCAACTCTAAGAGGAAAAGCTCATGAATATCTAGAAGAAGCAGCTCCGTTGACGGTTTGGCAGCTTTTGTTCACTGACGACATGTTGGTACATATCGTTAAGTGGACCAATCACAAGCTCAAAGAAATGCGAAAGAGATACAAAAATCAAACCAGCAACCTAAACGACACTGATTTAGTCGAAATAAAGGCACTATTGGGTCTCTTAGTATATACATCGGTGTTCAACAGCAACCACGAGAACATTGAAACACTTTTTGCCACCGATGGCTCTGGAAGAGATATATTCAGAGCTGTCATGAACATAAAACGATTTGGTATTCTCCTGTCAGCCTTAAGGTTTGATAACCCAGATGACAGGAATGAAAGAAAGAAGCTAGATCCAGTAGCACCAATATCTTTCATTTTTAATAGTTTTATAAAGAACTGTCAAGATGTGTACGGAGTTGGACAGTCTGTCACTGTCGATGAAATGCTCGTGAGTTTCAGAGGAAGATGTCGATTTAAAATGTACATGCCTGCGAAACCTTGCAAATATGGCATAAAAATTATGGCATTGACGGATGCAAGGAATAGCTACCTCTATAACGCATATATATACTGCGGGAAAGATTCCGATAGTTTCGAACTTCCTGAGGAACACAAGCGGTATTCCAAACCCACACAATCAGTTCTACGTCTCGCGAAGCCTCTGTTTGGAACTAATCGCAACATTACAGCGGACAACTGGTTTACGTCAATAGAATTAATGGATGTCCTATTGAAGAACAAATTGACCTATGTGGGTACAATGAAGAAAAATAAAAGAGAAATTCCTACGGCATTTTTACCCAACAAATCAAGAGAAGTCGGATCAACAATGTACGGATTTCGAGAAGATTCCACTATTGTGTCTCATGTAAGCAAAAAAAATAAAGCCACAATACTCATATCTTCTATGCACCACAGAAAATATTGTGATCCGGAAACACAGAAACCGGAAATAATAGCCTATTACAATGCTAATAAAGGTGGAGTTGATTCTCTTGATGAAAAATGTTCGAAGAGTACCTCAAGTCGCCGTTCGCGTAGGTGGCCACTGGTTATTTTCTACCGACTATTGGATATATCGGTAGTGAACTCGTATATTTTACACCAGTGCTATAAGAAAAATGAATTGCAGAAGGAAAAATCGGTATTTGCTAAGATGTTGGCGGCTAACCTGGTCCGTGAGCATATGGAAAAGCGACTAGAGAGTCCCCGTTTACCTCGGGATTTGCGACTTACGATAAATCGCATCCTTGGCAAATGTGAACATCCAGCAACAGAAGCTGAAAATTTGGTTTTGGAAAAAAGGGAAGCCTGCTGTTTATGTCACCGAACGACCCATCGGATGACCAAATTTTTGTGTGTACAATGTAGAAAGCCTGTATGTCTTCAATGCTCCAAACCCAAATGTATTAGCTGCATAAATATAGGCAATGTTTGAGACTTGCAGTGAATTTTGATTGTGTTCTTTTTGTATTTATTGACTATAATATACTTTCCTTGTTCATTACTTAACTAGAAAATATTTAGTTTCTGAATGTTGCAACAACAGCGTTATTTTTGTATGGTTTTAGCATAGTTAATAAAAATGTTTCTTTTATGTTCTTGTATCATTTTGAAATGAGCATTTTACGTATTAAACACATAAAATAAACATCCAGTATCAGTTTCAGCGAAGTTATTGCTTGCTTTTCGCCTTACTCTAATTTTTTGAACATCTTGAAGTTCGCAGTCTGAGAGACGGCATGTTTCCTTTTGTGTTCCAAAAATTCACGTTTCCTGTTAAGGGTTAAATTGCGCCCCACTTTTGATACACGCATTCCAGTAGGTGGCGCCGTCGTAGTTGGTTAAAGCACATATGTCCAATTCATCATGATGCGCTACACGATCCCACAACGCGTCCGTATTGTTAAACCGTTTTACTTAAATAATGCGTCGACTGTTGCAAAGATTCGGCAGCTACGACGAGATTTCGATCGAAATAATGTGCCCAATGTCGACACCATTTGTCAGTTGGTGTGGAAATTTGAAAAAACAGGGGAAGTTAAAGACAGTTTGGTGCGGTGTTTGGTTTGGAGCTGTCATTGTACCTTACTTCTTTGGAGACGCTGCAGGTAATTCTCTTATACTGTCACTCAAATCCAACAATTTAACCTGCAAAACATGTGGTTCCAGCAGGACGGAGCAACTTGTCACAAAGCTGGGGAAACAATCTTTTGCGAACAATAACTGACCACCAAGGTCACCAGATTTAACGACTGCTGACTTTTTTATGGGGATTTTTCGAAAATAGGGTTTATGCCAAGAAACCAAATACTGTAGAGCAGCTGAAGAACAATATTACGATAATTTCGATAAAAGATTAAGATGAAAAAAATGGACACGTTTTATTTTATTTCACAAATATTCAAGATACACACCAGTCAGTTACATATCGGCCACCCTGTATGAACAAATGTGAAATGCAAAATGCAATCTAGTTTTGGTCCCATTCTAGCTAATGAAGGGCTAGTATAGATTAATTCCATTGTTAGAGGTCACCAATCAAAACGCATAGTATACTAAATTTATCTATGGTCAAGAATCCATGCCATAGAAACGTTATCATTGAAATTCACTAATAATAGAGGATATACCAAGTTCGAATTCCATTTCAAAACTTGACATTTGGGCCTCACCTTTTTGCTGAAGTTTCTGAGATATAAACATGGGCAACAGGTAAGAATAATTTTCCTGCGAAAAATCGGGAAATTATCCGTGCCACAGCCTGACACGTTACAGATTTGATAATAATAATCATAGACGTCTTTGATGAAATTCGAATTCTATACCCTCTATAAAATGCATATACTGATAGTTTATCTATTCTCTAAATAGATGACGTACATATTATATACCATAATTTATTTTCGAATTTGCGTATTTATGTCTACATTAAATTAACAAAGATTAATACCTATCAATAAATACATAAACGTCTATTAACTGTAGAGAGAAAGTAGGAAATATATGAAAATCTGTTTACATGTACATCTAAAAAGCTTATTACAGGATTCAGTAAAGTAACCTTCATGGTCATATAGAAAATAAGACTAGTCTAATCTTCACTATGTAAAATAAAAGTCTGCGAAATGCAGATTTTATCGTTTTCATTTTGACACAAGCCATAGATTTGATAGATTCGAAAAGAGAAGCCCCTCTTCACAGCGACAAGATCGACCAACATTTGGAGGTACATCGCAGCGAGCCTTGGTCGAAATTTGACTCCAAATAACGGAAAAACCGGCCATCAATCCGACCACTGCAACTCAAAAATCCTTGCTTTTGACTTACTATATGGTATCGATAGACTTTATCGGGTTCTTTTTGGTGGAAGGATATGGTATCTCAGTCATGCAACTATAGGCTACCAGTAAATCTTCTACGTTATGTAGTAAGTATAATAGTAGCGGTTGCTCCCGCGAAAACTACATCAAATTGAGTTAGCTTAGTCTTCGATGCAAAGTCACGGAAAGCCTAACTTATTGTTAGACCTACTGTCTGACTTACTGTGATTTTCGCGGCAAAGTTTGAGGTTACGGTGATTAATAGCGAAAACATTTCAAGTATTAGATGTATGAAAAGAGCAGTTTTCAAAGCGAACTAAAATGAATTCAAGAACCAAAATAATTCTGGCAGATGCAAAGAAGGTAAGTGCAGTTGCTGAACCGTTAAATTCAGGCGAGTTTGGTTCATAAGTAGTGATGAATTCTTTTAACACAACAAACACGTTATGCATTGGGATCTGTCGCATCACAGTCTGTTTCTCTCATGCCTGTGAAATAAAAAAGTTTAAAAGAGGATTCAACTACTACAGTCCTCAGTTTTGCTAAGACGACACTCATGTGTTTGCTTTTCAGTCTCTCATCTCCAAGCTGGACCTGATACTGACCTATATCGTACTGATGAAGGGCTAAAGAGCCCTGTCTGCGGTTGGTTGTGGATCCATTAGTTTTAAATTAAAGGTAAAGTCGGAAAATTGGAACAAAGACGATTGTGGAGAAAAGTTGAAAATAAATAAGTACCTCGTGAAATGAAATATAGGTGTGAGTATGCTGATGATCTCACGATAGTAATATTGATTATCATAGAATGAGACCGCAAAACAGTATGCCTCAGGAACTATTTTTGCTGTACACAATCTTGCTTCCAGTAGATGCTAGAAAATTAAATGGTTTCTTAGATCTATGTAAATCAAACGCAAACAGTCTTCCTAGCATCCGTGAGGCCTACCTGCTTCTCATTTATCTCTAAAAGCCAAGGAAGATAAAAAAATACAAAGACAACATAATATTACCAGTACTAAAAATAAGTTGAGAAGGATGATAGTGGAAAACACGAAGATAAATATCATTTGTGACACAGAGTGGTATTAAAGAGGTTTTGTTCAACCATTTGTTTGAAAAATACTGTAATATTACAATAAATATCCTACTATGTCTAGAGCAAGTGTACTTTTTTCTTTAATTGATTCTACGAAATCTGTAGTAAGTCGACAAAATTTATTAAAAAAATTGTCATTTTCGCTAGGTTTGTATTGTAATACCATTTATAACCTTCTATATACAAGAATTACTGCAATGTGCAAGATATTTTAAGGTCGTCATTTTTCAATAAAATTCATCAGAAAATCTTCTACCAAAACTGAGTTACAATAGTCTTCCTTGCAGGGGTCGAATCTGATACTGTATTTCGTCTTTAACTTACGGCTATACGGGGCCCGTGTTCAGGGCCCGAACTTGTTAGGAGGCCTCCAAATGCCCAAAAATCAAACGACATTTCGAAAAAGGGGGCGTGGAATTTCGGTCTGGCGCGGGGCCCCTTCAGTCACAGACAGGCCCCAACATGGGCGCCCGCAGGAATTTTTCTCGTTGGAGGGCGAGAGATAACGTTTTGTGAAAATGTACCTGCCTCAAAAATGTTTTGAACAGAAGGAGGTAGCAAATTTGCTCAGGGAGGAGGAGGAGTTAGGCAATCCTACGAATCCCCAAAATTGTACACAAAATCATGCAAATTTCAAAGTCCAACTAGATTATGATTTTGCACGACATCGTCTTGATTGTACTGATGTTTAATTCCAAGTGCAAGATTGGCCTTATTTCGCACACCATATTCGTGAAAATTGAAAGTTTCGATTTAGCTTATTTTACGTTGAAATATATATTCATCCACAATACATTGATAAAAAATAAAATGGTGTCAAGATGAAATCTTTAAACTTCTCTTATTTATTGCATTTTAGTCAATATTAGGTGTTTTTATCTTTTATTTTGAAAATTTCATTAGGCTCTTTCTGCACCCCATCAAAAATTTAAATTCAAAATTTAATAAATATGCCAAGTTTTTTCCGTGCGTCATCTATTTACTGTATACACTTTGAAAAGGTTAGTGTCTCATAGATGGCGCTGTACTCATATAGGCAGCTACATCTATGAAACACTAACATTTCCAAAACATATACTCGTACAGAAAAAAGAGAAAGAGCTATGACAAATTCTCATAGACGACGCTACGGTATTTCACTTTATCTCGAATAATTTTTAGGAAGCCGGAATATAGCACTAGTTTGGTTATCTCGCAATAGAGTACGTTAATCAATGCTTTAATTTAAACAGAAGCATTCAATTTTCACGAATATTTTGGGCGATAGAAATCCTATAATTATTCATGTCCCTTTGTATTAATTTTGCTAACCGTATTCTTGTCACAAGCTGGGCCAATGTGAAGAGGTTCCACATCTGGTCATCATAGTTGATTCAACATAGACCAACATCCGTTAACGTCCACTGAATTGGCCGCGTTTGGCCGTAGTGGAGACGCGGCTTTAAACAGTTTTGGTACTAAAATAATTAGCGCGTTCAGAAAACGTAAAGTGGTCCAGAGGTGATTAGCAGTCGCCCTGGATTAGCTTTGACAGTTCACAATCAACAAACTATCAAATCTGACAGCCAAGTCAAAACTGACAAAGCTATCCCATGGCTACTGTTAATCAGCATAAAGGCGCTGCATCGCCGCTTTACGTTGACTAAACGCGTTCTATATTTATAATCTGACAATACCTCATTTTTCACGAAATATCGCTTAAAATCTGTCGGCTAGTGCGCGATTCTTTTTGGCGATAATGCACGTCTGACGTAGCACAGTTTTCTCAGTAAAATACCTGACACTGTATTACCACCAGTTTTGTATTGTAAAAACACCCGTAACATCGAAAAAACAACGAACGAAGGAAGAAACTAAAACTTTGAAGTAGATTCAGGTTAAGATACGGTAAGTTCTTCTCGTCTTCCTTTGATTTCTTGGTCGATTTTCCTCCATCGTTCTAGGTTCTCCTGACACATATCCAGTAAAGGTTTCGTCTCTGGGATCAAGGCGTACAGCAACTGGTAACAAGGGACGCATATGCCTGTCAGGAAGCCCACCTATAAATTAATAAATTGATATGCAATTTGTGTGTAGTTAGGATCCAGGCGTAATTTCATGAGAATGTCCCATGAAATCAACAAGTTTATAAGTTGATTGACTCTGCACTTCTTACGCAACGGCGTCATCAGGTCGTAAAGGGTAAAGTTTAGCTCAATCAGTCCATAGACATTCTTCTCCTGTCCTAACTGTAGTTACGGTTCATGTTATTTTTGTGTTCAAATTTGATACTCGAAAGTCACATACAGGGTTTGTCCGGAAAGTAATAGGACTGAGTCGATTTAAAGGCGTTTTCGTGGTGCAAATTCCAGTCGGCTGCGATGTCTTGTCAAACCCGATTGACCCTTCGTTTGAGTCTCCTGAGCACTTCCACGTAAAATTTGGCGTTGACGGTTTGTCCAGGAGGAACAAATTCATGGTGGACGATGCGTTTGATGTCAAAAAAGACAATGAGCATCGTTTTCACTTTGGATTTGCCCATTCTTCCCTTTTTTGGGCGAGGAGACGCCGTCGTGTGCCACTCGGAAGATTGCCTCTTTGTCTCGGGATCATACTCAAAAGATCCACGACTCGTCACCTGTGATTGCGTTATTCAAAAATTGGGGGTCACTTTCACACATGTTCAGATTTTCTTGGCACACTTCCACTCGCCGCAATTTCTGGTCGTCAGTGAGAACTTTTGGGACCATCTTCGTGCACACCTTGCGCGTGTTTAAATGCTGTGTCACAATGTCATGAACCACAGATTTTGGTAAATTTAACATCTGGGTAATTAAGCGAATACTTAGTCGACGGTCTGAGTTCAAAACCCTGTATGTTTCCGTGTATGGATCTCGTAATCTTTCTTTACGCACGAAACTCCTATGAAAATGTTACTTTAGATTTAGAATGTTGAGTGCAACCAAAGTCTGTTTATGAACTAAAAATGATAAAAACTTGACACGTTAAGAGTTGCAGCTCACAACTATGCCGTTTTGACGGACATTTCAATGATGTGATGTAACATGATGTAAAAATGTTATATTTGGTGATGGGGAATGGAATGAATGGTACGATGAATGCAGTGTTTTACAAAAAAAGCATCAATGGTGACGTCATTGCAATGCAGACTTACTTGGCTAGCAGGCTGTTGCTCTGGTTGTTCCCTGTCCATCATAGGAATCGGCGTTCTACCGGTTGCTCGTTCAGCATCTCCTTGCTCATAGAATTCCTCAAATATCACCTGAAACACACACACTTAGGATATAGACATACGTTTTTAAAATATAGTTGAAACTGAGCTGCTGTTGAACCAAATGGTTGCTAAACATTTTATTCGAGAATCACGTAGCTATTGGAGGTCGGTGCCGAATTCCATACAATCTCTGGCATCATCTTTCAGTAAATCGTTTTGGTCATGTAGAAGCCTAGGATATGAAACAATTCTTTAGTACTCACCTTGACAGTTTCGACCTGGATATCCCACGGCTTGGCGCTTGCGCTTAGATCACTGCCTGTCATGGCAATGGCCTGCAACAGCTTCCTATGTTCCGTGTTAGTCCACGAAAACGTCTTGGTTTGCACTAGGCTGGCCAACCGAGCTTTATTCGGAAAGAAAACTGCCAAGTCCGTTGCTAAAATGCAGTGTTTAAGTAGTCCCAGTACTTGTTTGTAATCACTGTTCGAGAGTTTATTGAAAATGTTGTGGCCTTCCTTAAAAGACAACACGGAAATCATGAATTACCAAAAGGAAACACGGAAAGAAAATGCCTAGGTCACAGAATCAGTATGCAGGGTATATTTACAATAATACATTTTTTCAGCTAAAGATAACGCTTCCCAAACACATTGTTTTTGTTCCAATATTATATGCAGAGGGTAACAGGTTTTAGTAATATTAGTAATATTGCGTTAGCGATATATTCCATGGATTGGTTACTAAGATGTCGTAATTTCGTTGAATGTATTTCAAAGTTACTCAAGGACAAAGGTGGATTCAGGTGAATCTAGATCATACCAGGACCAGGCCTGGGGTAGGAATTCACGCTCCCAAAAGGATGTCAGGCCTTCCAAAGTGATAAGCTTCTACCGTTCTCTTTTTTTAATTTAACACTTTCGTCCGTTGTTGTCGCAACATACCGGTTAATTGCTATGCAATCTTCGACTACAAATTCTGCATGTGCATTATTTATGGATCTAAAATGCGAGAAATAGAACTTCGACGTCTGAAAGATACCATTTGAGATCCAATTACAAGTAAAAACGTATGGTCCATTATAGTTGGGTATAAGAATATCAATTGATTTTTCCTTCAGGGATATTCAACCAAATTGGGGCACAATGCACAGAAGAACTAGAAAGGCAATTGTTGTTTAACTTTGTAGAGGCTGATTAACTTCCCTTTGTAAATTTGTTATCCTCTTTGTGTAAAACATTTTTCCATTTGACCGTTTCCCATACAAGCTCGCTTAGTGCCAGACAAACATGGGAGGATTAAAGGTATTCGCTCTCAGAAGGGTCCGATGCAGTTGAGCCACAACCCCCCCCCTCCCTCTGTGCTCAATTTTCTAATTTTCAGCTGGGACATTTTTCATGAGAACTTCTAACATTTTTTTTTGTAACGAAAAAATATGTTATTCTGAGTCACCCTCTTGTAGCTTGTGATCTAGACATTTTGTGATAACTATATATTTAATAATTCTAACTATTGCATGCTTCGAACATTGGAGGCGATACAATCTACATTCAAGAACACGAACTATCATTGAAAACTATGCCTCCGATCAAAAACATAGTAGTCAGCGTAGCCTAACTGCGCGCGTATAAATTTTACAGTGCTATCGATGGTTATGGAGGATCCGCCTTCAATCTTCGAAGTTTGCATCTGAAACGCCTATTTGTAAAAATTGGTGTAGAAGTTACCTGTTGCAATATAGTAACTGTTTGGTTGAAATGATGATGTTCCATCGTTGATGTGGAATATATAGCTGCCAGTGGAGATTCTGTATCTAGCATGAATTTGTTATTCTTTCCTCTGTGGTCCAAATCGTGGCACAATGCACCGATATACAACGCCAAACACTGAAAAAAATCCGAGCTGAAAAACTACCGCACACAAAATTCAAGCATTATTGCAACAAATGAGGTTTGAATGGAGAAATTGAAACGCACAAGCAAAATATGTCAAATGGTGGCACGTGTTCTAACCCTTTTTTTTTTAAATTTATACTCCGACTACCACGAAGGCCTAACGCCTAAACACCCATGGGGTACCGTGGGGCTATACGGGGATACAGTGGAAAGGAAAACGCCACACGGACTCTGGCGAGGGAACACGTGTGCATGCAACATGCACACATTCTGGCTCCGCCTACGAGATCCGCTGGGTGGTACCTTTGCGTTCGACAGTCAGAGACCGTCTACCATCTACGGACAATCACAACATCCATAGCCAAGAGAAAAATTTCTTTTGGGACGGGATTCTAACACGCACGGCGATTGGTCAGGAGACTCTCTCTTTGCATGCGGGCACCGCTTGCTGCCTGCATGCAAAATTGAATTGAATTGTGAGGAAAACCGAGTAACCTAAAATTAGAATTACTCAATGCCGAAAACAATTTTTGAGAGAATTGTTTCCGTCTCTGTGGATGATGCACCAAAATTTTCTGAAACAGTTTCCACGGAGACGTGAACCGATAGAAGACGATTCCAGAAATGGAAGACCAAAAACAGTAACAAATAATGGAATGACTCAAAAAAAAAAGTTGGAGCCATGGTTCTCCGAGTGGGATCCACGACTGTTGGCACCGGAACAAAAATTGCACAGGTCGGAAATTTCAGAAAACCATTTAGAAATAATTATTTACCAACGATTCTGACACAAATTGTGACCAGCGACGAGACTTGGGTGCATCATTTGGATGAGACAAAAACAGAATCCAAGCAATGAGGTCATAGAGGTTTCATAAACATATTTAGATTTTTACATACTGTTGCTTTGCCAAGGGGAAAAAAGCTTTGTGAGTATTGGAATTTGATTCAGACAAAACACGAAAAAGTAAGAATCGCTCAAACTTCAGAGACTCGTACTCATTTTGAGAAAATGTTTTGGAAATTGGGAGTTAGGGTGTATTCATTTATAAATGTTGATTTTTGGTAACAATACGACGCATTTGTTTGGTATAATAATCACACATACGTTAAGACGCTGGTACTGAATACTATGTTCACTGCTAGCCACCGGCAGATAATTTTGGAAATCTCTAAATTGCACAAAATTCTAAAATAATCCAAAACTTGAAGACCCGTGATGAAAAACTGATACAGCTTATTGTTAAAAAAAAATTGTTGTAAAACACAAAAGAAGTGTTATTGTTTAACATCAGCATGTACAGGTGTTATTGTTTGTTTAGAATCCAAGGAGAGATCATCCCTGCGTGACCCTAAAGGTAAAGTCAGATAAGTTTAAGCACCAGAACGAATCATATCACGGCTTATAATCTTCTTTCTGATATTTCATCTGTGTTAAATCTGCCCTTGGATTTCCCATACAACAAAAAAATTCCTTTCTCACCTCGTGTGGCAGAAACACTCCCTTGGACCTCTTGATGATGCAGTACATGCTATTAGCCACCGAAAACCCATGCGTCCAATTATGATACGGCACCTTCCTATAGTTCTTCCTTACGGTCAGCGTGAACTTGACCAAACTGCACTTGTCGAAGTTGGCCAATCCGAACAGGTCGCCGAACATGTGTATGGCGTACCGCGCCTTTTCGTAGTCCTCCACGTCGAAAGGGTTGAAGTAGTAATTGTCTATGCCGACGATTTCCTGGGGGATGCCATCTCGTAGCGCTGCGGCGAACTCTTCTTCGGTGCAGGTGTTGTGGTAACTCAGGACTTCCAAAGCTACCTACAAAGTAACTGGTAAATTGTGAAATAAACAATGGAGCACTAACAAGTAACAGCTTTGCGGGAAATGTATTTCTTCTATTTGATCGGATTATCTTAAAGATATGCAACAATGCCGTTTGATCTCTCTAACTCTACATGTTGTTTTTTTTTGTCAACAGCCTGTCAGGAGGAGTATTCTTAATATCCTTAGTCTGATTGTTTCATGGTGTGTATAGCGAACAATGTTATCAGTTTCTTTATTGCCAAAAAATGTATTTTTATGCATTCTTTCCTCAATCGTTAACAAACAATAGTACAGTTCTAAAATTGTCTGTAAATAATCCACTTTTATGGAAATATTGAGCGGTTGATTATGTTTTGCTTACCACCTTCTTTATAAAATCTTTGCTTTTCGTGAAAACTCAATTTGCTGCTAAATGAGGTTTCAAAAAAATCAATGATTTTTCGAAGAGAAAAAATGATAAGAATAAAAGTAATTACTTGCTCAATGCTACTGTAAAAGTGGAATTTAGATATACAGTTTCAGAGATATACTAATATTTGTTAACAAGTTACGATTGAAGGAAAATGCCCAGAAAAATACATCTTTTGAAAAAAATATAACATTGTTTGTGAGTCATCTTTATACACACAATGAAGTAATCAGATGAAAAGTATTACTGAATACTGCTCCAAAACAGGGAGTTTGAAAAGAGGGACACGCGACCTCAAAATGAAAGAAATATGTAATTCCGTTTTCAAATTATGCGCCAACCTCCATTTTGATGCCGCCATTATTATATAGTTGAAATCACGAAAGATGACGATTACGTCATCATTTTTGTCTGTAGTAAAGACACACGACAGCGATTTGTGAATATTTATAATGAAGTTTCAAATATGTTAGACAGAGACAAACATAATTTTATTCTCTAAACAAACTGACGGTGTTTTCATGTTGCATCATCGATCACATTTGAAAGATGAATAGTTAGGTTATGTTAAAGCAGGCTAGGTTTTTTCGAATAATACTTTGGTCTTTGGTGTTGCTGTCCTAAGGTATTCTACTCATGACTGTTTTTTTCAAAACAGAAATTCCCCACTAAAATTATTATTCAGGTATCACTCAAAATCATGAAATAAAATGAAAATAAAAATAATAAGTGAAATAACCTAACTTCGCAAAATCATAATATAAATTTGTTATCATTATGTTCCTGACATCGTGATTTTATCATCGACGTACATCCATTGATTATTTTAGTACAATTTATGGTATGATGTAATAGTTATCTTTCGTGATTTTGACTATTTAGTGTCGCAGTATTGGTGACGCTTTAAGTGAGATGTTAGTTATATTGTGTTCTTTTGATAAAACTGGCTCAGTTTCTTGGTTTAAAACTCTGCAGACAGCACATTCCTTATAGAAAATGGCTTACGGCCAAATTGGCTGAAAGTTTACAGTACTGTTTTCGATACCAATTTGATGACATATTCACCACAAAAAACCTTGTCACTCATTTCCGTCAATCTGTCTGTTGGTCGGTCCCCATCTATAACTTGAAAAGTACTAATCGGACTTGGATGAAGTTTTTAAATCGGATACTAGTGCGGCAAGGAAAAAGCTTTGTAGTTTTTAAAAATCGGTCCAGTGGTGGCGGAGGAAAATGCTAAAAACGAAAAAAATAGAAATTGCTTAAACTTCGTTTTTTGACATCTCAAAAAATCCTGATCATTTTTGATTTTTTTTATGTTAGTTTATTAATACACTTCCAACCCCGATAATTCTTTGCATCTATTAGACATATTTCACACATCATAGGTTTCCCCGCCTTTAAAAATAGTATTACTATTTTCGTGCCTGTTTTTTTTTAGAACCGATGAGTAAAGGTAAAGGCAGCGCAGGACCGGATTAGGTTTGATTTATTTTGCGGAGCCTCACATCTCGGTAACCTCAAGACTTTGGTGTATATGTTACAATAAAAAACTGCTCATTTTCCAATGTGTGAAATCCCAACTTTGAGAGCACCCTGTATAAGTAAGAAATACATAAAATGTTTACCTTGTACTTCTGCTCCGACTTTATGATCTTATCGTACAACTTGGCATGATGCAGCGCCAATCCGCAGTAGACAGCGAACGTCTCGAAGGCTTCCTCGTCCTCCTTCGTGAAGTAACCTGTTCGTTTGTTTACCATTTGGACCACGCCGATGATCGATCCACGGATGTAAATCGGCATGCAGAGGATCGTGTGCGTTTTATAGCCTACGACAATATTCAGATACACCTATAATAAATTGTATAACTAGGTAGATAATAATAATAATAATATTTATTCGCCAAAATACAAAAAATGGGCAAACAAATATGAAAAAAAACACAGAAGGCATCGCCTGTGTGTGGATTATATCTTAATAACTAACAATCAATCATATGTGTCTATACTACAACTATTTAAAACTGTAATGACTCATACGCGTGATCAACACGTGATCAGAGCTCGATCCCGGCTTCCTTCCAGTACAGCCGTATAGCGTACGACATATGTCGTTTCTGTGGCTTTGCGGTGGCCAACAGCACAGACAGAGATGGAAATAATGGCTGATTGTTCTCCGCCGGTAGAACCAATGAAATCAAAGACGCGCCTCGACCGGCAGACTCATAGGCGTCGGCAACGCATTGGAACGTGTTTCGTTGAGCGATCGCATATTGTGTGTTTTTATAAGAATTGTTGTGTGATTGTTATTGTTGTGGTTTCTGTGGTTACTGTTTTGGTTATACTTAACCATGGAGAGTACAAATGGCACGAGTGGAAGTACTGAAAGCCAGGGAACAAGTAGGCGGCTTCGTAAAGCACTGAAGAGGGACGCGAAAGAAATCGTGCTCAACGTGTTCAATTATCTGAACAGAACTATGTCGCAGGGAGATGCACTCGCGCGTTGTGAAAGTATGACAGGCGTTCCAGAGTGGACCATTCGCTAGGTCGTGCACGAAAAGAAGAAAACTGGAGCTACTACTGATCCAAAGTTTAATTTGAAGGGACGAAAAGCCGTTAAATTGGATGACGATAGCAAAATGGCGTTAAGGCGAACCGTACATTCATTCTTCTTTAGGAATGAGATACCAACCCTCAAGGCTGTACATGCAGCGATCATGGAAAATGAAATTATACCCCAAATGAGCGTCGAGGTAATGAGGAAATCCCTGCACGAAATTAATTTTCGTTACGAAACGCGTAATCGGAAGTCAGTATTGATAGAGAGACCTGAAATAGTCGCCTGGTGTCGAAAATACCTACGCGAAATGATTGAATATAGGCGACAAAGCAGAAAAATCTATTATTTGGACGAGACATGGGTAAATGCAGCTCACACAGTTAAAAAAACCTGGATAGACAAAAACGTAGTGAGTAACCGACAAGCAAGCATTGAAGGTTTGTCAACAGGTCTTCGTGGACCGTCAGGGAAAGGTCAAAGATTGATCGTAACTCATATTGGTAGCGATAGTGGCTTTTTAGAAGAGTGTGACTTGATTTTCGTCTCTAAGAAAGGAGGTGATTACCATGACGAAATGAATGCCAGCTGCTTCGAGAGCTGGTTTCAAGGGGTGCTTCAGCGAGTTGAGCCCAACTCTGTGATCGTCATGGATAATGCTTCCTACCATAGTCGTCGAGCCGAACGTGTACCGACTATGGGATCTCGAAAAAGTGACATGCAGCAATGGTTGCGCGAAAAAGGAATCCCGTTTGACGATTCATGTGTGAAAGCGGAATTGTATGAAAAAATTAAACAGCACAAACCTGCGAACATTAGTTACGTGACTGATGAGATGGTCCGTCAATGTGGTGTCACTGTGCTGCGGTTACCGCCCTACCACTGTGAACCCAATAGAGCTCATCTGGGCTCAAGTGAAGGGTTATATTGCGCGCCATAACACAACCTTCAAATTACCAGACGTTAAGGTTTTACTTGAGACTTCCATACAGCTAGCAACGCCCGAAGCTTGGCAGAATGCTATCCGTCATGTTGTGAAGGAAGAAACAAAAATGTGGCAGCTTGACCACCACATCGACACCATCATAGAGCCAGTTATAGTCAATTTCAACGAGGAAAGCGATAGCGACAGTTTATTACTGTCAGATGTAAGTGGAAGCGACGATGAATAAAGGTAATTCCCAAATTTTTGACTTACAATATGTTTCAAACCACTCTTTATTAAGCATGTGACAAATCTAGTTCACCCATGTTAAACATTCATACCCCGCCTATGAACAGCCGACTTCTGGTAGTTAAGCGATGTTCACGTGAACATCGATGAGTCATTACAGTCTTAGATAGTTATAGTATAACAATTATTATTGGTAATTCTAAAAAGTGTTAATATAATTGGAATTTTGTAGTTTCAGTTTTTTTATATAATTATGTAATAGTAAGAGCTTCAGTGGTGCGACCACCACGGCGTTGTGCGCGCAAAAGTGCGTCTGCCATTGGACTTTCCGAACGTTCTGTAATGAGAATTCTTCATGGTGATCTTCATTTCCATCCTTACGTGATGGCACTTGTGAACGTGACTTCAATTCTCGGATGAACGCATGTGAACGTCTTTTCGAAGTCGTTCTTGAAGACGTTATTGTGTTTTTTTTTTAATGATGAAGCCCATTTTCATTTATATCAGCACGTCAACAAACAATAAATGGGCTGGCACCAATCCTCGGGAGTTGCATCAAAGGCATTTACATTCACATTTCTGTCACTGAGAAAGTCCTTTAAATATTGGATGAAAAATTGTCCATACAGATAGTATATACTAAGTGACATATAAATCCGAACACCCAGTTTAAATGGTTTTATTTTAATAAAAGTTGGTGAATGTATTTATCTTACTGTAAATAACAAGTGAAAAAATTTTCAGCCTTATCAGTTGGACATTCCGGTTTTTATACTGCTTTTTTTTAATTCACTAACGCTCTAAAAATAAATATTTCAGCCGCAGTAAAGAATCAACGTTGGCGGATTTTGGTTCTTGACATCCTTTACGATCGGTTACGATGCCTAGAGTACGGAGACCTGTACGATTTCGTCAACTTAGTGAGTTTGATAGGGGCCGTATAGTGGGACTTCGGGAAGCTGGATTTTCTTTTCGGGCAATTGCAGTTAGAGTGCAAAGAAGTGTAGACACTGTGGTTAGGTGTTGTCAGGCATGGCTTCGAGAAGGCCGTACGCAAAGAGCAAGGGGCACTGGACGCCGCCGTAGAACAACAGATCGTGAAGATCGCCGCCTAAGATTATTGGCCTTAAGGGACCGTTTCTCCACTACCAGGTCCATTGCAAATGAATGGTTTGCAGAACACGGAAGACCTATTGGCATGCGAAGTGTTTACCGACGAATGAGAAGTTTTGGCTTGTTTTCATACCGGCCACACTGGGTCCTCCCTTTAACTCGAGAACACCGACGTAATCGCCTTGAGTGGTGCAGACAACGGTCCATCTGGGATCAGGAATGGAACAGTATTGTCTTTAGTGACGAGTCTCGATTTTGTTTAGGCATGCACGATGGTCGTGCCAGGGTTAGAAGGCGACGTGGTGAAAGGAGGAATCCACAGTTTTTTGTTGAAAGACATGTTCATCACACTGTTGGAGTTATGGTTTGGGGTGCTATAGCTTATGGTTCCAGGTCACCTTTAATCTTCATCAGAGGTAACATGAACGCGCAGCGTTATATCCACGAAGTTCTAGAACCCCATCTTTTACCCTATCTTGACACCCTGGAAGATCCAACTTTCCAACAAGATAATGCCCGACCACATGTTGCAAGAGTCACAGTAGACTTCTTTCAACATAACGATGTCACATTGTTACCATGGTCACCAAGCACATCAGGGTGCATCCACACATTATTAAAGGTCAAAGGGCTTTAAAGCAGTGCGATCATTTTGAAATTTTTATCATTTACTTATTATGCTTCATTAAGTACTTATACAAAATTTTATTAAAATAAAACCATTTAAACTGGGTGTTCGGATTTATATGTCACTTAGTATAGAAATGGATTAGAGGAATGGATAATTACACGCTTAACGCCTATCTTTTAAAGCCGATTATTGAGGAAGGTTGAACGAATGTGTTTTTTCACGGTGACATGGTTTCAGTGTCAGACGGAAAATTTCATATTTCTAGGGTCTTCGTTTTGCCTGGGTTTGTATATTTAAAACACGTGACGTGTGAATACGTGTAATTTTGAGAATAAAACAAATTGTTAGTATGATTCTTTTGACTGATGAATTGTATACCACTAAAACCATTTTCTACTAAAACAACGTTAGTCCAGAACCCGTCTTTTTGCAACTCAAATACTATATAAGGCACAAAAAAGTACTGTGAAACTATTTTATTTGAAAATGTTACAGTTTTCATTGTCTCCTGAAAAATACAAATTGTGTGACTTTTTGCAATGACCGGTACAAATTTAAATGCAAATAAATTCTGATCCTCCTACGCCCGAAGTGACCAGAATCGCAAATAACGCAGTTTGAAGAGTTCTAAAATTTTACTACTAAAAAAAAATTACTTTTACTATGCCTAAGAATGGACTCAAATAATAATAAAAGTTCAGCACAACTCAAACCCTCAATTGAAATGTACCCTCCCTCACCCCCTAAAACCCCCCACCCTCTAAATTTTCAAAAATGATCAGGATCCTGTGAAATCTCAAAAAACAACGTTTGACAGGTTTTAATTCTCATAATTTATGTCCTTTCTTTCAGCTGCCACTAGATCGATTTTCAACAACTACAAAGCTTTTTCGTCCTAGGCTTTGTGTAGAAATTTCATCCAAATCCGATCAGTACTTTTCAAGTTACAGAGGGCCAACGAATCGGAAAGCTGGAAAACGTACAAAAAAGAAATATGGGAATGATCTGGAACTTCCTTATTTTTTCGCTTATCTCCACCGTCCCGGCGCCAATTTTCAAAAAGTAACATTAAGCGCAAACCGTAGCTAAATGTCATCAAAATCGATGCCGCATTTTATCTGAAATTCGAAAATGTATGTTCTAAAGCGTCGATTCTCGAAATTTCGAAACAGCATTTTCAAATTTGCTTCTAAATTCCCAAAAATCCTGGAATATTTTAAAAACATGAGATTTTTGTGAATGGTTGGACTTACCAGTGAGCTGATCCACTGTCCGGTTGAACCTAGGATCTCCATAAGCGTCTCTAATGTTTAAAACTTCTCCAGTCATAGCCACCTGACCAGCAATCCCTGTTCCCAAAGGAAACCGTATCTCTTTGGAAGGTCTGGCCGAGAGCTCTTCCTGGTCTAGCAGGTCTATGTCGTTTGTTCCATCAGAATCCTGACCAAAAAAATCAAAATGAGAAAAGCATTTTTGTTTCACATATATATAAAATAAATCGTTTTTTTCTGTGACGGGAAAAAAGTTTGACATTTTATCTCTGTTGACAGGTAACAAAATGTCACTTTCTACGAAATTACTTTTTCCCGGGAAAAAATTGAGTACTTTTTTCCCGGATATTGTATACGAGGGATGTCTTTTAAGTTTTGCATATGGAAATAAAACAACACGGTAGGTAGTTTTAAATGACTTTGAATTTAAGTTTGCTAAAGAGTGAGGTTAAGATTCAGTCAAAGAAAACTCGGAATCCGACATTTTTTACTTTATAGTATTAAAAATCACTTCTAAACAACCACTAAGTTCACAATTTTTAAACAAAATTACAAAATTAAATTGACAGCTATTTGATTACTTTAAAAGTTTCCTTAGCAACGCAGGCCTAATTGTCGATATAAATATACAACATACCCTACTAATTTCAAAATTCAAATTTCACATCGATAATTTTCTGACTTAAATATTGTAAAAATATAATTTTTCAATATTAAATCGTCGTTTTTCCCGTCACAGAAAAAAATAACTATTTCTGCACATCTATGTTGTTCGGATTCAGAATAGCTCAGGAATATTAGACATTTTCTGCACAAAATGCCAGCCACGGTTTTTCGACAGAACATGTCTAATTTTCCCGAGTTATTCCGTATCGAAATTCCGAACGTATGAGACCGCGTTTATACTATCTTTATTGGCGAATTGTTGGACATACGAAACAACATTGGTCAAACTTAATTTTTAACGATGCGGGGTCATCATCTCTGTTTAACAATATAATCAACAAAAATAATTCCAAAGTAAGATTTTTCTCAATAAATGGGTTTTCATAGCGATGTCAATAGAAACAAAGAAAACAGATTCTTGAATAACAGTAAAAATAGCATTTTTGAGCCACGAAAGCTTAGAACTATTTGCTTGCCCTAGTTTATCCCTTTCGAAAAGAATGTGTCTATGAACATAATCATCGTGTGAGGACTATGTTGTTGAAAAATCATTAAATTATACCTTGTACATCGCTTAGGAAAATTCAATTTCCAGTGGCCTGCCTAAGGAGCCTGAGTGCCATAGTGAATATGTTTTAAAGCCACCTGTTACATTGCAGGGTGGGAACTCGCCTTTACAGAACGTATAGGTCAGGCAATAATAAGCAAGTTTTCCTAGTAGCACACATACCAAAGCCTCAAAATAACCGAGATATTAAGTTACGAAAAACTTGAAGTGGGCTAATCTGTCTCTCCCTCCTTTCTCCTCCCCCTTCTCCGTGCAAAAGTATGATGTTTTGTGATACTATGAGAGTCAGCATCCAAATCAGGCGCCGCGAGGTGTGAAGGTTAACCTAGCTTATAAACAAGACGCATCTGAAAAGCCGGAATTGGCATATTAGTTTATCGATTTGAGTTAGTTTACAGAACTTCGTCCTCGATGTTTCCATCAGCGCTGCGAAGGTTCGTTTATATCATACAAACGCCATCTGGGTGGAATACTATCAGATCTAGATAGCATTAAATGTTGCAAATTTTAAAAGAATTAAACAAACTTTTCTTTTTGATCCAAATAGAGAAAACTTCAAGCAGTATTTACAAGCAAAACATGTAACACTGCAGTTAGGTATACATATTCAATGTGGATCTCAAAGTGTGCTCGCGATTCATATGGTACCCTTAGCTCGATTTATCGAAATTTCAAAAATCTTACCTGTGACTCGATCCCGATATCGAATATGGTAGCGTACAGTTCCTTGTTTTTGGCATCGACTAAGAAAAGTGACGCTCGATCTGCGTCGACTAATCGTTGTGCAAAGTTCATTATTTTGGTCACCAGCATGTCCATGCTGACCATATCTTGGAATATTGATCTGAAAGAGAGAAAATTCATGGAATTTATACGTAGCAAGGATCGGATACATAGACGTTTCCAATAAAGAAACAGGAAACTATTGGGTTGGAACATGTATTGTCGAAACATCGGATCCATGTTTTCTACGTGAACGGTCCTTTGAGGCAGTGGAGCAGATATAGGGGGGACAATAAGGCGGAGATGAAAGCAAATGTCCTCTAATCGGAAAGAATGCACTGTGTTTTTTTTCCAAAACCAAATATGTGAAGACATATGGAAACCATATACAGAGTATTATAGAAAGGCAATTTCAGCAATTTAAAAGACGAAAGACATTTTCATACAAACACATTTACACATAGATTTATCGGGGTATCTCAAGGGTCAAATCTAGGTCCATTATTGTTTTTGATATTTATTAATGACTTGTCTTTTGAACTGAAGTGTTTCCATTTGTTTTTCGCTGATGACCTTAAAATCTGCACGTCAGTCAAGACAGTCGAGGATTGCGTCATGTTGCAAGATGACTTAGCTCTAATTTCGTCATGGTGTTCACGAAACTGTCTCAGTCTGAATGTTTCGAAATGTAAAGTTATGACTTATACAAGAAAGGTTAACTATTTAATTTATGATAATTATAACATCAATGGTCAGGTTATAGACAGATGCACCTCTTATAGAGACCTTGGAGTCACTTTTGATACCAAGCTAACGTTTACTGAGCATATACTCAATATCTCGTCGGCTGCCACTCGACTACTTGGTTTCTGTATCAGAAACTGGAAGGGTTTCTCTAATGTTGATACATTAATGACTTTATTTTTTACTTTTGTCAGGAGCAAGTTGTAGTATGCGACTCTGATCTGGTCTCCTATATACCAAAATTCTGCCGTGATCCTTGAGGCCATTCAACGTAAAGCTTTAAAGTATTTTCACCTTAAATGCACAGGTTCTTATCCAGAAAGAGGTTGTGACCATAGTGCCCTATTAGAGTTTTTCAATTTGGATTCACAGTCAACAAGACGAAATATATTTGCTTTGTCGTTTTTGTATGGCCTCATTCACAATAAAATTGACTGTCAAAATTTACTTGAAAAAATATGTTTCCGCGTTCCAAGGCTAGGGAGTCGACAACAAACGGCATTCTATTGTCAAGCTGGCCGTAGAAATGTTATGGCAAAATTGCCAATTAATCTCATGTGCTGCGTCATGAACAGTGTTACTGAATCGTGTGATATTTACAGTGACAGTTGTGCATCGATTCACTGGACAACAAATTTTAGTTTTTTAATTGTATCTTGTGGGAAAAGTGCACTTCTTTGTTAATTTTGGGGCGCTGAATCCAAAAATGACAATGAAATAAAAAAATTAGTTGCGGTTTAGAAAAAAAACTTTTTATTTTTAAGGATATATTAAAAAAAGTAACAAGATTCATATACTTATAAGAATCACTATATGCGCTGTCTTTTTGCTGTTCTTTTATGGATCGTTTCTGGAGCATCTCTACCAAGAGTCCAACAGTAGTCTGCAAGCATGGAAGGATTCCACTTTCCCTGGTACCTTTTTTCCATTGTTGAAATATCCTGATGAAAACGTTCGCCGTGCTCATCACTTACGGCTTCGCAATTGTCAGGAAACAATATTTCGAATCTGTGGCCCAACAAAAATACCTTCTTTAACCTTTGCCTCACTTAGTCCTGGAAATTTCTGACGCAGGTACGCAGGTATTGAAAAGCTGACCCATCTCTATCTAATACCTTGACAAAGTTTTTCATTAGGCCCAACTTGATATGCAGTGGTGGTAATAAAATTTTTTTCGAATCTACTAATGGCATATGCTGTACATTTTTTTGACCTGGCTCTAGGAATTGACGAACAGGCCAGTTTTGTCTGGAGTAATGAAGCCTTTGCCCGACTGTCCCATTCACACAAAAAAACAGCAAAACTTTGTGTAGCCTAGCTGCAGCCCAAGTGAAAGTGCAACAACTTTCAAATCGCCACAAATATGCCATTGGCGCTCATCGTATTTTATGCATGTCAATAGGTACTTCATATTGTCATATGATTCTTTCATGTGAACTGCATACCCTACAGGAAGAGATGGTAAAATATTTCCAATATGCAATAACACTGCCTTTAAACTCAATGTTGAACTGTCTATAAACAATCTTCATTGTCTCCAAGTAACTCTGCCTTACATTTTGGAAGTTCTAAATCTCTTACAGGATCATTTAATTCTGACTGTATTATTTTGTGCGGTTGGTGGCATGACGTGCTCGGTATAAAATCAGGATCTCTTGACGTCGATGGCATATCTTCTTCCTGACGAATCACTCGATCGCCATGATCTGGTTCGTTTACTGATTCGCAAGTGTAGGATTCTGGGGGTTTTGGAATAGGAGTTTCGTCACTGTGAGGCACAGGTCTCATCGCAGATGGTATGTTTGGGTAGTTAATAACCGATTTTTTTTTCTTGGACATACCTGTGGCTTGTCCAACACAAGGTACCATGCAAAAGTAACAATCATTATTATGATTTGTAGGCTCTCTCCAAACCATTGGGACAGCAAAGCGCATAGACCGTTTTTTGCCATTTAACCAGCTCCTCAGACTTGAAGCACATGTATTACAGCAGATGTGGGGTGCCCACTGTTGTCTTGATCACCTAGTTTACAACCGAAATAAAGCTGATATGCCTTTGTTATTGGTGAAGTAATAGACCGTCTCTGAGACGCAAAAGTCACATCACCACACACGTAACAAAACTGATCTGGATTGTTTACACACTTTCGAGACATCTTGCATGAACGCTGTCAGCCAACTGAGGAAAAAATGGCTAATATGAAACAATATAATGTACACGTATGTATAACGTAACACAATCATGCCGATTACATCATCTTTCCTTGCCGAATATAAAAATGTAGCACGTGCATTCTTGTGAATTACAGTATATTAACACTGTCACAGCAGGAACACATATAATTACCGTATCTCTAAAACTTGAACTAATATTGAAAAAATAAGTCATTCCGGTTTTAGCACATTAAAAATAGTAATATTTTGTTGATTTTATTTAGGATATTTTTTGGCTGTTGATCAGTGATTAACTGCTATAGATCATCCAATCTTATTTAGAATGTGTGATACTATATATTTAAGTCCAAGAACCATGTCTATTTAATTGTTATTTTTTCAGCATTTCCTGTAATTGGGTTTCACCTGTTGGAAATAAATAAATAAATAAATAAATGAAAATGAGACTTTCCAATTACAATGGCGTATAGTTTTACGCGAAACACCCCGTAGCGAATTTGTTGTCTGGTGAGTCGCACTTTTGGTAACACCCTGTATTAACACTAGCGTGACGAAGAACCTTATGCGACAAACTGGCAAATGAACGTCAAATATAGTCGAAATCACGAAAGATGACGATTACGTCATCATTTTAGTCTGTAGTAAAGGCGAACGACAGCGATTGAACGACAGCGATTTGTGAATATTTTTAATGAAGTTTCAGATATGTTAGACAGAGACAAACATAATTTTTATTGTCTAAACAACTGTATTGCTAATTTGCATGTATCCGACAAAGATAGACGATGTTTTCATGTTGTATGATCGATCATATTTGAAAGATGAATAGTTAGGTTATGTTAAAGCAGGTTAGGTTGTTTACGAATAATACTTTGGTCTTTGGTGTTCCTGTCTTAAGTTATTCTACTCATAACGGTTTTTTTTCAAAACAAAAACTCTCCACTAACATTATTATTACGGTATCACTCAAAACCATGAAATAAAATGAAAACAAAAATAATCAGTGAAATAACCTAACTTCGCAAAAATCATAATACAAATTTGTTGTCATCATGTCATCATTTTATAATCGACATACGTCCATTGATTACGTCAGTACAATTTATGGTATGACGTAATAGTCAACTTTCGTGGTTTTGACTATATCTGGATTATCAATTTAAGCTCTAAAGACGTTTCTGTAGACACAGTCGCATCCACAACATATACTAGATACAAATCACACTTACTGATTGTTATTACTTACGTAACTCTCGTAACTGAATCGTCAAACAAATAGGATTTGAACATTATTTACTCCACTGGTCCATATCTTTCGTAAAATAATTTACGACAACGTACTGCCGTCAAGAACAATGATTGCAAATATTTCCACGTTTTTCATGGAAACAACACGTAATGAAAAATGAAACGAACAATACAGCGAATGATTAATTTCCGTAAAAACTGGAAAATCTACGCTGGGCAATAATTGCTGCTAAGTGATCGACAAATTGAATCTCGTTTCTGCATTCCATAGGCACGGATGTGTTTCAAAAAGGGAAAAACCCGAATTGGAATATAAAACTTTTTTGATGTGTATGGCACGAAGTTTAGCTACTTCTTTTGCTTTGTGAACTAGACAGATTCTGGGTTCGGTTTCAGCAACACGAAAAATGTATAAGCATTGTTGGTCCTGACGAGACTGTATTGTATATGCGGAAAATTTCTAAAACCAGATTTATGTTTTTAGGATGTTACGAGGGATGTGTTTGAAGTTTTGCATATGGAAATAGAACAACACGGTAGGTAGTTTAAAATGACTTTATTGTTTTTCGAAGTATTCTCCACGAAGATTAATCCACATCCGCATGCGGTCGAACTAATTTTCGAATCCCTTATTCCACTCGTTTGCTGGCGGATCCAAAACGGCGTTTTTGAATGCGTCAACTGCTCCTTCGGGTGAGTAGAACCTTTGACTACGCAGACTGTTTTAATTTCCGGGAAAGTAAAGGTATCGTTAGGACTTAGATCGGGACTATATCGTCGGCTTTCTCACGAAGTGTCCTAACCAACGGTTAGTAAATTTAACAGGAGAGCAAGAAAACGAAATCAGCGTGTTGTTGATTGAGCATTGTATGTAAAGTTTAGATATTTCCGAATTGAAAATTCAAGTGTGTTAGCCTATATTTATTGTGAATCATATGCCATTTCAATATTTGA